TTGAGACCAGCCTGGTCTACAAGAGCTAGTTCCAGGACAGCCTCCAAAGCCACAGAGAAACCCTGTCTCGAATTAGAAAGCTGCATATGTACTTATCTGAATGTCTACCACCTCAGATTAACATAGAAATATAAGAGGAAGGAAGGTCACATCCAACCTACCTGGGCAGGTGAAGAATGCTGTCTGACCTACATGAGGGTTTTAAAGGAAGTTCACTTGTAGGTGTTATTTCTGGAGGGTCGTGTCTTTCTTACACTCTACTAACCTCATGTACCATTTCACTACAAAATGTAGTTTAAATCCAGTCAGCTGATTCTCAGGACTCTAGGGTCTGACTTACTTGGCATGTTCCTCTTTCAGTACTTCTCTAGCATTCAGTTCCGCTATATAGAATTGCTTATACATTTCCAGGGATACTTTAGTAGAATGCTCCCGAGATTTCATTCCCAGTATCTCTTTTTGCATATCTTTGATACTTTGTTTCATTTTCATTACTTGCTCTTTATACTTGTCAGGGACAGCTTGCCTCTAAAGAACAATAAAGACACATTTGTTTGTTTTAAAGAAGCAGTCCAAGGAGAGTTGGAGGGGAGCAGGAGAGTGGTTGACAAGATCAAAATACATTGCATTCATGTATAAAAACTACCAAGAATAAATTAAATAAATAACCTCAAATAATAGAAAAAAATCTGTGTTTAAACTACAAGCATTACTGTATTCATTCTAAATAAAGGGAAAACTCATTTGGAAGATGACTATACCACAAATAATTACTGTTTAATATTGATCCATGATGCAGAGAACCTTTTAAATGTATGAGAAAGGAGTTTGAGTTTAAATTATTTACCATCAGCATCAAGTGCAATTTAAGCAGAATTTGTTTAATGAATCCTTTGTTTGGTGCTGTAGACTGAACCCAGGGGCTGGTGGGTGATAAGGAGATCACCACTGAACTACACCCTCAACCCTGATTCATTCTTATAATAATTCAAAACTTAATGCAATTTTATACTGATGGGTGGAACTTACAAACAATTGAAGTACATTATAATATTCACACCACATTTTTTCTTTCCCACAATTTTGTCTAATCTTAAAAAAATCAAACGATCCTTTAATGAAAGCCAGAATTCTGAAAAATGAATTTACTTAGTGGTAATACTCAAAACTAAGACATTCAGCAATAGAAAGGGATGGCTTCTTGTTCCAGCAATCTACAAAACAAACTGCCATGAAGCACAGAAGAAACATACATGATGACACGCACACAATGTCTACAATGAAAATAAAATCTGAAGGAAATAAAGCACACCAGAGACATATACAGCGGCCTGAAATAATCGGTTGACTTTTTGTTATTGTAATAATAGATTGACTTTTGTTATTGTAATAATAGATTGACTTTTTGTTATTGTAATAATAGATTGACTTTTGTTATTGTAATAATAGATTGACTTTTGTTATTGTAATAATAGATTGACTTTTGTTATTGTAATAATAGATTGACTTTTGTTATTGTAATAATAGATTGACTTTTGTTATTGTAATAATAGATTGACTTTTGTTATTGTAATAATAGATTGACTTTTGTTATTGTTTCCATCAGTTGTCTTTGATAGCCTGCTTATACTTTTCTACCTCACTACGCTCTACCATGCAATTGTCCATGTGGTTTTTGAGGCTGAATATTTCTTCTTCATGCTTCTTTAGTCTTTCCTCTAGCATTTTATCTTTCTTTGGGGCACCTGTCACTTCCAGTAATTTCTGATGCAGAAAATCATTTTCATTTTCCAGACGTTGACAATATGAAAGTGTATGTTGCTGTTTTGTTGAGACACATTCAAGTGGAGTGAAAAAAATTTTGTCTGGTAATACAATAGGCAGAAAAAAAGTTAACACAAATACAAGGGCTGTGAACAACATGAGGTTCTGAGAGTGTGTTTCCCGGCAATTCGCACCCATGCTTTGCCGGCTTCACTCTCCATAACTGCTAAATGAGACTAAGAGATATCACATTGATTTACTTTGGCCAATGCTGAAACTGGCTCCTAAAATTCTTTTCAAAATGAGATGCTAACTAATAAATTTTATAAATAATGTGCTCTAACATCTTAAAACTTTTATGAGTTATAAATATTTTATGATAATATGAAGTAATGAACAAAGACATTCTTCAATAAACAAAAAATAATTTAAAATAATAATTTTAAAAAGTAGTGACAATCTATGGAGACTAGGCTGGTCCACTAGGCTGCAACCACTGCCTTTCAGGTGCTCCCTTCTGCACTCAGCAAAAGAGTGATGTCTGGCTAGGCCTGCTGCCTAGGGCCATGTCTGGGTCCCCTGAATACTGCAGCAGGAGATCTAGACCCACCCCTCAAGGGAGAGCTGGCCTCCAAACCTGCTAAGAGATGGTCCCATTCCTCACCTCAGGACTGCACCTCACCTGGAAAGCACACTAGAGCTGACCCTGTGGTCAAGAAACAGGTGAGCCAGCCCTGAGGGCATGAGAGCAGAAAAACTCTCTCTCTCTCTCTCTCTCTCTCCCTCTCTCTCCCTCTCTCTCTCTTACACACACACACACCCATGTCCCCTACAGCAACTGGGAGACAGAGCCCTGTATCTTTTCTGGGCAAAACAGCTGATCCTGGTGGTATGAGTGTGGGTGAGCCGGGTATGAGACCTGAGAGCAGGAGAACTGGCCTGGCTCTTGGTGGCAGGCTGCGTTGGGTGAGCTAGCTGAAGCAGTGCTGGAGAGCTCGACAGGTAGTGAAGATGAGGGAAAGATGGAGGAATGACCAACCCAGCTACCACCAAGGCCCAGAATCAGGGCTGTGAGTTATCCCACCCCAATATCCACCTCATCTTTGAACTGCTGGAGCGTGTGAAGGGGATGAATCTACAGCTCTAAAATATCAGGATCTCCAAGACACAGGACAACAGCAGGATATCCAAGAAGAGCCCCAGTGAGAACCCATTATCAGTGGTGTAGCTGAAACCAGAGGCCTCAAGCCAAACCAATGAACACTAGCAAATAAAGATGAATGGATTAAATAAAGAGTAAAGTGTGTGACTCAATGGGTCACACTACAGCTTCCGAGGGGAGAGTCTTCTCCCCCTTCCCCCCTTTTTGTGTTTGTTTTGTTTTGTTTGTCATGTTTGGATTTGGGTTTTTCTTTAAAAATTTTTTTGGTGGGGAGGTTACAAGGGCAGGGAGGATTCAAGGGGGCTGGGAGATGAGTAGGATCTGAATACATGGTGTGAAATCTGCAAAGAATCAATAAAAGTTAAAAGAATAAATAAATAATAAATGAATAAGTAAAACTCCAAATTAAAAAAGTAGTAGCAAAGATAAAAATTTCTAATAGTAAATGTGGATTAGAAGTCATCTCTATTCAACCTAGTGAAATAAAAGAGCCAGGATTGAAAAAAGGTAGCCATCTTCCTAAAAGGGCTGAGGTGGGGAAGCCCAGGTAAGATATTCTTCACAAAGAAGCATCCAGTTGTGGCTACCAATTGTCACCTAGCAGCAGCAGGTTAACACCACCTTGCCGTGATTAGTGGTAGCTACCAGAGGGTGAAGCTTCCTCTTGGGTGACACAAGAATAGGAAACTGAGTAGGCCTGTGGGAATGCAACCAGGGGCTGGGTATACGTTGGATGGAAACATGACTGGGGCAGTCCAGGCTATGGAGATGGAGGGAGAGGAGGACAAAGGAGTCTGAGTCTGAAGTTCTCTGCATGCACTCTGGATTTAGCAATGTTTGAAGGCAATGACTCAGCCATGGCCTAAGAATGTGAGATAAGAATAGGTAGTGCTGGGAAGAGACCAATTGGTGTCAAAAGTAAACCCAGGAGACAAGTCCTCCACACTGTCTCGAAGCCTCAGGAAAGTCTGTGCGTAGAAACGAAGATTCCCAAAATGGTAGAGGGAGTTGTGGCCCACAGGATGGGGACTTCAGAAGTATAGGTTCTAGCAGAAAGCCTAGTCCTCACATAGATATTTCCCTCAGCAGGAAGGGCACACTGATTTAATGTGTTGAAGTTGCTGATATGGATGGCTCTCCCCCATGTGAGTGTACGCCTACAAAAGTCAAAAGAGGGAGGAGAAGCCACAGTACCCTGAAGAGGAAGAAACACCACAGATATGCTAATATCTTCTGTTGCTTTTCTTCTTTCAAATGTCTCAGAGATTTGGGCTGTGTTTTACTTTAGATGTGACTCTCCTAAATATCTGTATCACTTTAGGTGTATTTTATTATTCCCCTTGCCACTAGTTTGTATACCTTCCTTATAACATTCACACTTTACTCCTGGTTTTCCCACCACCTCTTCATTACGTTAATGAATGAATTATTAATACCCTTAAATCCTCAAAAACTATAAACTCTTCCCAGTTTTAAGGGAAGGTGCACAAGTGAAGTTCGCAAGGTCTTCTACACATTGTAACACCAGATCTGCTATAAAATCTTGTATCTATTATAACAGTCATTTCTTCCCCCACAGATACTGAAAGGCAACATATTTTCAACAGAAAACAATTTAAGTGGAAGGCTCATGTGAAATAAAACAAATAAAGAAGTTCAAAAATGTGAAAAACAAACCTAGAGAATATATTCCTCCCAAGAAACACAGAAAATGCAGGAATTTTTCTTTTTTGAGGAAATTGGATTCACTTCCTCTTTTCCTAGATTCCTAATGTTTACTTCTCCATGCTTATTTATATGGAGAAAGCCATCTTATGTCCCCCTGAAATTTTTCTCCATAACACTAAACAATTATCTTTGATAATTTGACTGAATTCCCTGAATTTTAGAGATATACAATGACTTCTTTATACAAATTGAAAAATTATCCTATGAAACTTATCTTGAACTATAAAATCTAGCCTGAACCCTATTTTTTTCAGTAGGAGGTAAATTTGCAAAATTGTTTCTGAGAATATGGAGTCTGGGACTTGATTGTTGTGACGAGATTGAGCAAGGGCACACTACCAGGCTTTGGATCAACAGCAAAATTTCGAGACACAAACAGGACACATTTTCAATGGAAAAATGATACCTTTTTATATTGATCTCAAGTTTACAAAAACTTCCAAACTCTTTCCATTGATGCTATACTAAATTAGCTGATTTTTTTTAGTCCCAACACTAATTTAAATTAACCTTGTGTCTTAGAGTAAATACCTTTTCCTTTTCCCAGTGAATTGTACTTGAAGCACTAAAAACAGCAGGCTCTCCATTTTCACATTCATCTGACTGCTTCTTAAATCTAGGAATAATGTGCAAAAGAATAAAATAAGTATTGTTATCATTCTCTGTGTGTCGGGGGGGGGGGGGGGTATTGTTTTTGAGACAAGATGGCCTTGAATTCCTGATTCCCCAGCCTGTACTTTACAAGTGTTAGGATTACAGACATATAATAATATGCTTATTAGTAACTGAAGTTTTAAAATTGTAAACATTTAATAATTTTAAAACCCATACTATGTTCTACCATATAAAAGAAACAGAATTTATGTTTATGAACCTTCCTCCTTAGTTTGATTCTATTATTATATTAAAACATTATAATGAAATTGAAATCTTAATTTTAAAATAAGAAGTTTGAGATATGTATGGTAAATAAAGTATTAATATTGGAATCATATATAGAATTCTTTTAATATCCATTTTACACAGTAAAATAAAACATTTACTTATTTACTTTTTCACTCTTAGTATTATTTCTTCGACTGTGTGTATGTACATCTGTGTGAGGGTGTATTCACAGGAATGCAGGGACATTATAGTCACAAGTGCTGGGTAGCATGAGTTCAAATAGATCTTAATAATAAGAACCTGGAGTCAGATATCTGGGTAAATGCTAAAAGATCAGAGAAGTAAAGCAGCCAGCCACAAGACAGACCTTTAACTTCTATTAAGTCCTCAGACCAAAGGGCCAATCCTATCCATACAAATCCTCAAACTGAATGCAATGAGCTCCTCCTGTCTCCTTCTGTCTTATATTCCTCTCTCTGCCCAACCATATTACTCCTGTCTCTACCTCCCTAGTACTGGGATTAAAGGCATTCGATTCCAAGTGCTGGGATCAAAGGTGTGAGCTCTGTTTTCTTTTAGACTGATTCAATCTCATATAGCCCAGAGTGGCCTTGAACTCACAGAGATCCATATACCTCTGTTTCCTGAGAGTTGGGATTAAAGGTGTGTCCACCACTACCTGGCCTCTATGGCTAACTAGTGTGGCTAGCTCCACTCTCTGGTCTTCAGGAAAGCTTTATTTGTTAGAGCATAAACAAAATAACTCCACAGTGCTGGATCCTCTAAAGCTGGAGTTAACAGCCAGTTGTAAGTCACTCAGAGATGGGTGCTGGGAACTGAATTCGGGTATTATTGTTGTGTTAGTTTTTTGTCAATTTGATACCAGCTGGAGTTATCTAAAAGAGGGAACCTCAACTGAGAAATGTATCCATCAGATTGTCCTATAGGCATACTTGTGGGAGCATTTTCTTGATTAATGATTGATGCAGAAGGGCCCAGAGACCACTGAGGGTGATGGCATCCCACCCCCAGTCTGGTGGTCCTGGGTTCGCTAAGAAAACAAGTTTTGAGTAAGTAAAAGGAAGAAAGCCAGTAAGATGACTCCTCCATGACTTCTGCTTCAGTTTCTGCCCTTACTTCCTTTCATAGTGAACTATCGTTAGGATATGTAAGCTGAAATAAACCCTTTTCTTCCAAAGTTGCTTTTGATCATCGCGTTTTTATCATAGCAATAGAACCATAACTAAGGCAACTACCCATAATTCAGAGGTCACTACCCAATATAAAAAAGAGAGTTATATATAAAAGTTTCAAAGATATTTAAAAATTCCATTTTAACTTTTGAAAATGGTTTACAAACAGACAAAAAAAAAGACCCAACAAGAAAACATTAAGAAAGACTGTTCTGCAACTGAGAAGATGGCTCAGGGGGTGAAAAGGTTGCTATATGAGCAGGAGAACATAGTCTTGGATCCTTAACACCAACATAAAGCCAGCATGGCACTATTGTCTCTCATCCTGGTGATAAATACTAGAATGTTTGGGCCAGCCAGCCTAGTCAAAAGTTGAGCTTCAAGTTCAATGAGAGGCCCTTTCTAAAAAATTAAGGTAAGGAACAACAGAAGAGGACACTCAGCATTGACCTCTGGGCTCCATACATACCTGAGAGAGTACTGACACACACACACACACACACACACACACACACACACACGAATACATACATCCAGAACATACATACACACACATAAAGAAAGGACTATGCATTCCATTTAGTACTACCATGTATGTTTAGCATGTGTAAGCCATTTGGTTCTATTCCAACAACAACAACAACAAAAAGAAACCAAATAAGAAATTAGAAAAATGCAAGAAATAAGGGATAAGTTGAAAGAGAAAATAGGTCAGGCAGTGCTTTAGAAAATAGGCAACAAAATGTAGAAATATGGGGGCAGACTTGAAAAGTTCTATGGTGGTTTGAATGACAAGTATCCCCATAAGCTCATATACTTGAACACTTGGGCTCCAGTTGGTAGTTTCTGTGGGTAAGGTTATGGAACCTCCAGGAGGTGGAGGTTTGCTGAAGGAAGTGAGTCACTGAGATGGGTGGATTTTAAGGGTTTATAGACTTAGCTCCTATTCCCTTTCTCTACCAACTTACCATCTATGGATGAAACTGTGGTCAGCCAGCTCCACGCTTCTGAAGCCATGCTGTCCCTTTTCAAACATTATCCAATCTATCCCTCTGGAACCATAAGCTAAAAATCAATCCTGAAGTTGTTTTGGGTCATGGTATTTTATCACAGAAACAGGTTGGTAACTAATACAACTTTTACAAAAAAAAAGAAATCTTGAGTCCTTAGAGCAGTTTTACAAAATGCGAAAGACACAAAATTAAATGTGTAATATCAAATCAGAGGAAAATACTAATTATTCTTTAGGGAATAAAACCAAAATTCTTAGCAAATAAAAACAAAAGCAGCCATGTTGGGAGGTCGAAAATCATGAGAAAACATTTCTTTATTTTTCTCAGGTGCTAGAATAATGACAGATCATTCACTTTAAGTCAGAAAGTCTTTTTTTTCATGTTAGCTATCATTCTATCAATATACATATGAAGAGAGAAAGATAGAAAGAAACATCCACTCTTCCATATCTGTGGGTTTTTGTATCTAGGATTTTAAAAAGGTATTAACTGAAAATGCTAGTGAAAATTGCATCTTGCTGAACATGCATTGGCCTTTGACAAGATTTCAAAATAATTTAAAACAGTATAATTATCATAAAAAAACAATTTTCCATTATGTTAGTGTCCCAGTTAGGATTTCTATTGTTGTGTTAGAACACCATGACCAAAAGCAACTTGGGGAGGAAAGGGTTTATTCAGCTTACACTTTCAAATCACTGTTCATCATTGAAGGAAGTCAGGACAGGAGCTCAAACAGAGCAGGAGCCTGAAGGCTGGAGCTGATGCAGAGGTCAGGGAGGGCTGCTTTCTGTCTTCTCAGCCTGCTTTCTTACAGAACCCAGGACCACCAGCCCAGGGGTGGCCCCACCCACAATTGGGTGGGCCCTCACACATCAACCACTAATGAAGAAAATGCCCTAAAGCTTGCCTGCAGCCCGGTCCTATAGGCATTTTCTTAATTGAGGCTCCCTCCTCTTGGATGACTTTAATTTGTGTCAAGCTGACATAAAAGTAGGAAGCAGAGAGGTCCTAGAGGAATGCTGCTCACTGCCTTGCTCCTCTAGTCTTGCTTCACCTGCTCTCTTATTCTTATGCATCCCAGGACCACCTGCCCTGGAACAACCCATCATGATCTGGCTCCTCCCACATCCACCATTAGTTTTTAAAATGCCTACACAGACTTGCCTACAGATAAATCTTGTAGAGGTATTTTCTCGATTGTGGTTCTCTCCCCTCTAAATTTGTATCAAGCTGACAGAACCAAACAGCCCAATAAGTGATTATATATAATTTAGAGATGCCTTAAAATATAAGAAGGTATGGGTTAGTGAGTTTACATGAGAACTGGAGTACTTATGGATTTTGATCTCTGCAGAATGGCAAGGAACAATTCCTATGAAGACACCAAGGTGGCTGTATGTTAATTTATATAAACATACATGTGCATTTATTAAAATAAACATTTAACAATATGTGTATTTCGTGGATATATGGCTTATAAGTATGGAGAATGAGTATTACTTTTTAATTAGTATATCTTAATAACATGTTTGTAACAATAAGAATTGAAAAAAATTTCAAAAATGTGATTTTAGTTTTTTAAAAGAATCACACAAATAGGCATTTAGATATTACCAAGCTGGAATGTAGAAGGAAAGAAAAATAACATGTTCCTAAGATAGTAATTCAAAATAAATTATGAAGACTGAAATTGACTTTAGAGGACACATTCATTGCCATTTATTAAGTTCAAAATCATCACATGTAAGAATAATTCATATTGGTTTCAAACATTAAAATTCTGTTGTAACCTTCTAATGTGAATTTGAAAATAAATTTGTTTTATCATAAACAGACATGATGCAAATTTATGTATGGGTTTTGGTAAAATCACAATTTAGTCACGGATAAAAGATTTGAAAAATGATGCCTTACCTGGTTACTTCTTTTTCTAGTTCACTATTTGTTCTCTTCCTGTACTCAAAATTATGGGTCAATAACTGAATCAATGCATTCTGTCTGATAAGCAATGTAGTGATTTCAGAAGTCTGGAAGTAAAGAAAATCACAGCATGAATTTGGTATTAGCCTGGGCTACATAGTCACTTTTGCAGAGGCTAGCCTGGGCTACATAGTCCCTGTCTCAAAAACAAACCTTATTCTCAGAGTAATAAATTTTACAAATTCAGAGAACTTATATAAAGCTCAGAGAACTTGAATTATATTCACAAGCAGGTACAATATGAATATATCAAATATATGACCAGGGAGAATATTCATATTTCTTAAAATGTGTTACTGCTAGGCACAGGAAATTACATTGTCAGTCTTACAGAAATTAATACAAACTGAGCTTCATAAATATGTACTCACTTGGGTTCTCCGATTCTGTTCAATTTCTTCTGCCTCATGTTTTGTTGTGGCTTGTAAGTCTGAATTTTCAAGCTTAAGCCTAAAATACATATTTTAGAATGATTGCACTCATTGGAAACTACCCACTCAGCTTCTGAACAAATGTGTAAATGATCATAGGAATTCTGATTTTTTTGAAATACAGTGATTTGGAAACTATCAGTCTTTGGGTGGCCCTATGTCTGTACAAACTTTAGAGGTAATATTAACAAATATGCATTTTCTTTTTTGTCTTAGTGATTCTCTGTATCAAACTTGTAGATTCAAACATACAACACAAAAACGCCCGCAATGAGTTTCAAACACCAAAGGAAACCATGCATTTTTAACTAAACTAAGAGCAGAATTTTTCAAAAGTATTCAATTGCTTTGAATGATACAAATTCCTTGTGTCACTGTCAAACTGGAATATACTCCAGCTATTCAGCATAGTGCTTTCATCATAGAATTTGTAGATGACGCCAAGCAGCTTCTGAGTGTTCATATAGTGACTCATGCCTCATGGAGCTAGAAGAAGCAATAGCTGGGCGCTGCCCCATGGTCCTGCTGCCACAGACAGAACACTGCCATCGGGCCTTTCCTGTCATGGTACACTAGAAATGCTCTGAAATGTTGAGCCAAAATCACCTTTTTTCTATCAAGCTGACTTGTCAGATAGCATCTCTGCAGTGAGGAAACCTGATTAACACAGGAAGTGGGGGCCACATCATCACTGCTGGGATGAAACTGGCCATGTGCTTCTTAGACTTCTGGAACTTATTTATGGGCATATGAAATATTCTGTAGCAATGGTTTACAGAAGGCCCAGAATAAGATCAGCCTAATGAGCCATTCTCATGTGAGTTCATGAGACCAGCATGTCCATAAATATGAAGACATAAAGAGTCTGATCATGAGGTTTCAGGTGCTATAAAATACACTTCCCGAGAGTAGGACAGAAGCATACACACTACCTTCTGTCAAGGGGTTTGGATCCATGCTTGGAAATGTTCAGTGATGTGGAATTCATAATAGCAGGTTAGTTTATTTAGTGGTGGAAATAGTCTAGAAATCATTACTCTTAAGGCTGTGACATTGTTACTGTTCATGGTTTTAGCAGAGTTTACAGTGATATTCAAAAGCAAAAAAGTAAGGCAGAACAGAGACCCCATCCCTCCCCCCAGCCATCAGTGCTTGAGAAGGGTGAAGAGCTGGCCCTGAGGTCATAAGGGCATAAGGACAGGAGAAGAGCAGCCCCTGTCTCCCACCAGCTACAACCCTCAGGAGAGAAGACCCTGCCCCTCACCAGGGTAGTACAATAGAGCTGATCCTGCTGGCAGAGGTGTGGGTGAGAACTGCAACCATTACTCATCTGACAGTATGAGTGGAGGAGAGCTGGCCCTGAGGTCATAAGGGTGGGAGGGCAGCTCCTGTCCCCCACCAGCTGAAACACTGTGCAGAGGTGGTCCTAGACCTCACCTGGGCAGCACAATAAACCCAATTCTGTTGGCAGAGCCAGTCCTGTGGCTGTAGCATGAGTGACCTGTCCACATTACTTATCTGTAATATGGCAGCATAGGCAAGGGAAAGATGCCCTTCCCTTCCCCCTAACTCCTCTACCCCAAACCCATCAAAGCTCTAGGCTTGTGGGAGAGCTGGCTCTGAGGTCCAAAGAGCAGGAGAGCTGGCTCTGACCCTCATCAGCAACAGCACTCAGGAGAGAGCCCCCTACATCACACCTGGGCAACACAGTAGAGCTGGCCCTGAAGGTAGAGGTGTGGGACTTCTGACCCAGCAGGAGAACTGGCCCTGCCCCGAAGCTGCAGGTTCTCCATAACACAGAGTAACAGCAAGATAATCAAGAGTTCCACTGACAGCCCAGCATCCATAGTGGAGCAGAAACCAGAGGCCTTAAAACAGATCTCAAAAATGACTCTCTTCAATGAACACTTGCAAGTAAAGATATATGAATAAAAGAGTTTGGTCATGGATGAATGATTTGAAAAATAAAATCCTTACCTAATTATTTCTTTTTCTAGTTCAGTATTTCTTTTCTTCTCATCCTCAAAGCTATGCGTCAATGACTGAATTAAATCATTCTGGAAAAAAGTACATACATTTATATTTTCAAATTATTTATATCATTTTTAATGTTACCAGTATCATACTCCCTCTTCCCACGACTCAGTGTTCATTATGGAAGAGGAGATGGAAAGATTATTATTAAGAGTGCAAGACAGTGGATTATGACAGGAGTGGTTCGTGGACACAGCAGGTGATTTGCATATATGATTTCAGAGCAGTGGAGACAGCATGCACAACACCTGTACAGGCTCCAGGCCAACAGAATTCCAGCATGGAGAGGGATTTGACTGCAAATACCTACCCCTGGCTAAGGAGAGGTTGGCAAGTGATCTATAGGAGAAGGATCATCAATTCCTTTAAGGGTAGAATCCTTGGTGGGTTGACACCATCCTGTGAATGCTACACATCCAAACATGTATGTGTAGCACAAATTGACTTAATGAGTTTAAAGAAGAAATAAAACACACAGTTGAGTGTTTGGTGAGGTGAAGGCAGGTCTGAGATGAATTGAGGAAGGGTCATATATGATCAAAATATATTGCACAAAATTCTGAAATAATTATTTAAAATAAGAAAAATACTGCACTGTGGGAAATGTGCTTGTCTAATGATCAAGTACTTACTATTTAAGAAAATTAGTATTACAATTAACTAATACTCAAGATTTTGTGGAAAGGCTTAGGTTACAATGAAAATTCAAATTTTTCATCAAATATTTATATCTTATAGTTATACATTATTATGATGTATTGCCAGGATCAAAATGACAGTTTGACATTAGTTTCCCGCACAGCATTGATTACAATAGCTAAAAACATCAAATCTAAAAGTCCACCAATGGGTAAATGAGTAAGTCAAGAATGGTAAGTATAAAATACTGAGTATCAAGGATCACAATATTTATCATTAATTACTTATCATTAGTGGGACATGGTAGCTTAAGTTTCTGTTTTAATCCCAGAAGTCTGGAAGTAGAGTAAATCATAGCAGGTATTTAGTATTAGCTTGGGCTACATAGTCACTTTCTCAGAGGCTAGCCTGGGCTACATAGTCCTGTCACAAAAACAAATCTTGTACTCAAGGTAACAAATTTTACAAATTCACAGAACTTCTGTAAAGCTCAGAGAACTTGAACTACTATTCACAAAGAGTTACAATATGAGTATATCATATGTGTGACCAGGGAGAATATTAATATTTTCTAAGTCATGGCTGTATCCTACTGCTAGACACAGGAAATTTGGTCTCAGTCTTACAGAAATCAACACAAAGTGGGCTTAATAAATATGTACATACTTGTATTCTCCCAATCTGTTCAGTTTCCTCTGCTTCATGCTTTGTTGTTGCTCGTAAATCTGAATTTTCAAGCTTAAGCCTAAAATAAAAATTTTAAATGATTGTGTTTACTTCACACATTTGAAAATACACAGTTAGATTCTGAACAAATGTGTGAATGATCATAGGAATTCTGACATTTTTAAAATACGTTGATTTGGAAACTGTACTGGTCTTTGGGTGGCCTTTTGTCTGTATAAACTTTAGAGGTAATATGAACAAATACACGATTTCTTTTTTATCTCAGTAGTGCTGTGCATCAGACTTACAGATTCAAACACACAACACATACGCACCCCCACTGAGCTTCAACATTCAAAGCATGTATTTTAGGTAAACTAAGTGCAGAACTTTCCCTCTGATTTCAAAGGGGCTCAATTGCTATGAATGATACAAATTGTCTAGTGTCACTGCTTGATTGCTGGAATACACTCAAGCTATTCAGCACCATGCTCTCATCATAGAACTCTGTAGATTATCTCAATTCTCCTAAGCTCATGGTGCAGCTTCTGAGTGTTCATGCAGTTACTCATGCCTCATGCCTCATGCAGCTAGAAGAAGCAATAGCTAGGTGCTGCCCCATGGTCCTGCTGCCACAGACAGAACACTGTCATCAGGCCTTTCCTGTCATGGTACACTAGAAATGCTCTGAAATGTTGAGCCAAAATCACCTTTTCTCTATCAAGTCGATGTCAGATAGCATCTCTGCAGTGAGGAAACCTGATTAACATAGGAGGTGGGTGCCACATCATCACTGCTGGGATGAAACTGGCCATGTGCTTCTCAGACTTCTGGAACTTATTTATGGGCATATGAAAGATTCTGGGGAAATGGTTTACAGAAGGCCCAGAATAAGATCAGCCTAATGAGTCATTCTCATGTGAGTTCACGAGACCAGCATGTCCATAAATGTGAAGACAAAAAGAGTCTGATCATGAGGTTTCACACGATATAAAATATTCTTCCTGAGTGTAGGACAGAGACATACACATTACATTCCGTTAAGGAGTTTGGATACATGTCCTGAAATGTTCAGTGATGTGGAATTAAAAATATTAGGTTAGTTTATTTAGTGGTGGAAATAGTCTAGAAATCATTACTCTTAAGGCTGTGACATTGTTACTGTTCATGGTTTTAGCAGAGTTTACAGTGATATTTAAGAGCAAACTGTAAGGCAGAACAGAGACCCCACCCCTCCCCCCAACCATCAATGCTTGAGAAGGGTGGAGAGCTGGCCCTGAAGTCACAAGGGCATAAGGACAGGAGAAGAGCAGCCCCTGTCTCCCACCAGCTACAACCCTCAGGAGAGAAGACCCCACCCCTCCCCCCAACCATCAATGCTTGAGAAGGGTGGAGAGCTGGCCCTGAGGTCATAAGGGTGGGAGGACAGTTCCTGTCCCCCACCAGCTGAAACACTATGGAGAGGTGGTCCTAGACCTCACCTGAGCAACACAATAAACCCAATTCTGTTGGCAGAGCCAGTCCTGTGGCTGTAGCATGAGTGACCTGTCCACATTACTTATCTGTAATATGGCAGCATAGGCAAAGGAGAGATGCCCTTCCCTTCCCCCTAACTCCTCTACCCCAAACCCATCAATGCCCTAGGCTGGGCTGGAGAGATGGCTCAGAGGTTAAGAGCACTGACTGCTCTTCCAGAGGTCCTGAGTTCAATTCCCAGAAACCACATGGTGGCTCACAACCATCCATTATGAGATCTGGTGCCCGCTTGTGGTGTGAGGAGGTACATGGAACCAGAATGTTGTATATATAATAAAGAAATAAAAGTCTTTAAAAAAAAAAAAAAAGCACTAGGCTTGTGGGAGAGTTGGCTCTGAGGTCCAAAGAGCAGGAGAGCTGGCTCTGCCCCTCATCAGCAACAGCACTCAGGAGAGAGCCCCTTACATCACACCTGGTCAACACAGTAGAGCTGGCCCTGAAGGTAGAGGTGTGGGACTTCTGACCCAGCAGGAGAACTGGCCCTGCCCCGAAGCTGCAGGTTCTCCATAACACAGAGTAACAGCAAGATAATCAAGAGTTCCACTGACAGCCCAGCATCCATAGTGGAGCAGAAACCAGAGGCCTTAAAACAGATCTCAAAAATGACTCTCTTCAATGAACACTTGCAAGTAAAGATATATGAATAAAAGAGTTTGGTCATGGATGAATGATTTGAAAAATAAAATCCTTACCTAATTATTTCTTTTTCTAGTTCAGTATTTCTTTTCTTCTCATCCTCAAAGCTATGCGTCAATGACTGAATTAAATCATTCTGGAAAAAAGTACATACATTTATATTTTCAAATTATTTATATCATTTTTAATGTTACCAGTATCATACTCCCTCTTCCCACGACTCAGTGTTCATTATGGAAGAAGAGATGGAAAGATTATTATTAAGAGTGCAAGACAGTGGATTATGACAGGAGTGGTTCGTGGACACAGCAGGTGATTTGCATATATGATTTCAGAGCAGTGGAGACAGCATGCACAACACCTGTACAGGCTCCAGGCCAACAGAATTCCAGCATGGAGAGGGATTTGACTGCAAATACCTACCCCTGGCTAAGGAGAGGTTGGCAAGTGATCTATAGGAGAAGGATCATCAATTCCTTTAAGGGTAGAATCCTTGGTGGGTTGACACCATCCTGTGAATGCTACACATCCAAACATGTATGTGTAGCACAAATTGACTTAATGAGTTTAAAGAAGAAATAAAACACACAGTTGAGTGTTTGGTGAGGTGAAGGCAGGTCTGAGATGAGTTGGGGAAAGGTCATATATGATCAAAATATATTGCACAAAATTCTGAAATAATTATTTAAAATAAGAAAAATACTGCACTGTGGGAAATGTGCTTGTCTAATGATCAAGTACTTACTATTTAAGAAAATTAGTATTACAATTAACTAATACTCAAGATTTTGTGGAAAGGCTTAGGTTACAATGAAAATTCAAATTTTTCATCAAATATTTATATCTTATAGTTATACATTATTATGATGTATTGCCAGGATCAAAATGACAGTTTGACATTAGTTTCCCGCACAGCATTGATTACAATAGCCAAAAACATAGAATCTAAAAGTCCACCAATGGGTAAATGAGTAAGTCAAGAATGGTAAGTATAAAATATTGAGTATCGAGGAATCCAATATTTATCACTAATTATTTATCATCAATGGGACATGGTAGCTTGAGTGTTTGTTTTAATCCCAGAAGTCTAGAAGTAGAGTAAATCACAGCATGTACTTGGTATTAGCTTGGGCTACATAGTCACTTTCTCAGAGGATAGCCTGGGCTACATTTGTCACACAAAAAAATCTTATACTTAAAGTAATAAATTTTACAAATTCACGGAACTTCTGTAAAGCTCAGAGAACTTGAACTACTATTCACAAAGAGTTACAATATGAGTATATCATATGTATGACCAGGGAGAATATTAATATTTTCTAAAACATGGCTGTATCCTACTGCTAGACACAGGAAATTTTGTTCTCAGTCTTACAGAAATCAACACAAAGTGGGCTTAATAAATATGTACATACTTGTATTCTCCCAATCTGTTCAGTTTCCTCTGCTTCATGCTTTGTTGTTGCTCGTAAATCTGAATTTTCAAGCTTAAGCCTAAAATAAAAATTTTAAATGATTGTGTTTACTTCACACATTTGAAAATACACAGTTAGATTCTGAACAAATGTGTGAATGATCATAGGAATTCTGACATTTTTAAAATACGTTGATTTGGAAACTGTACTGGTCTTTGGGTGGCCTTTTGTCTGTATAAACTTTAGAGGTAATATGAACAAATATGTGATTTCTTTTTTGTCTCAGTGGTGCTGTGCATCAGACTTACAGATTCAAACACACAACACATACGCACCCCCATTGAGCTTCAACATTCAAAGCATGTATTTTAGTTAAACTAAGTGCAGAACTTTCCCTCTGATTTCAAAGGGGCTCAATTGCTATGAATGATACAAATTGTCTAGTGTCACTGCTTTCTTTCTGGAATACACTCAAGCTGTTCAGCACCGTGCTCTCATCATAGAACTCTGTAGATTATCTCAATTCTCCTAAGCTCATGGTGCAGCTTCTGAGTGTTCATGTAGTGACTCATGCCTCATGCAGCTAGAAGAAGCAATAGCTAGGTGCTGTCCCATGGTCCTGCTGCCACAGACAGAACACTGTCATCGAGCCTTTCCTGTCATGGTACACTAGAAATGCTCTGAAATGTTGAGCCAAAATCACCTTTTCTCTATCAAGCTGACTTGTCAGATAGCATCTCTGCAGTGAGGAAACCTGATTAACATAGGAGGTGGGTGCCACATTATCACTGCTGGGATGAAACTGGCCATGTGCTTCTTAGACTTCTGGAACTTATTTATGGGCATATGAAAGATTCTGGAGCAATGGTTTACAGAAGGCCCAGAATAAGATCAGCCTAATGAGCCATTCTTATGTGAGTTCATGAGATCAGAATGTCCATAAAAATTCAGGCATCATGGGCTCTGATCATGAGGTTTCAGGTGTTGTAAAATACTCTTCCTGAGTGTAGGACAGAGGCATACACATTACATTCTGTCAAGGAATTTGGATCCATGCTCAGATTACATTCTGTCAAGGAATTTGGATCCATGCTCGGGTTACATTCTGTCAAGGAATTTGGATCCATGCTCGGAAATGTTTGGTGATTATAAATTAGTTTATTTAGTGGTGGAAATAGTCTAGAAATCATTACTGAAAAGATAACATTACACCAGCCACCTGAGTTCCACTGCCATGCTAGGGCCCCCAAACAACACACAGAGTCTATTGTTAGTTACAATGCTGCTGGCCAATGACTAGGATTTCTTATATGCTAGCTCAGTCTTAATTATCAACCATAACCATTATCTATATATTTTGTAAGGACTTATCTTATCAAGGACGCCACCAGCAGATGTCCTCTCTTCCCTGGCTCACATGGCAAATCCTGTTTACTACATTTTCCAGAATCCTCCTTGACTCCTAGCTCCACCTATCTTGCTTTCCTATTGGCCACAGTGCTTTATTTATCAACCAATAAGACAAAGATATATACAGAAGGACTTCCCCCATCACATTACTCTTAAGGCTGTGACATTGTTATTTTTCATGATTTTAGCAGAGTTTACAGTGATATTCAAGAGCAAAAAATAGGGCAGGAGAGAGACTCCACCCCCCCAACAATGCTTGAGGAGAGTGGGAGAGTTGGCCCTGAGGTCATAAGGGCATAATGACAGGAAAGCAGCAGCCCCTGTCTCCTATCATCTACAACCCTCAGGAGAGAAGGCCCTGCCCCTCACCTGGGCTGCTCAATAGAGCTGATCCTGTTGGAGGAGGTGTTTGTGAGAACTGCAACCATTACTCATCAGATAGCCAGAGAGGAGGAGCTGGCCTGAGGTCATAAGGGTGGGAGAGCTGCCCATGTCCCCCACCAGCTGAAACACTCAAGAGGGCAGGTCCTGTACCTCCCCTGGGTAGCACAATAAAGCCAATTCCTTTGACAGAGCCAGCCCTGTAACTGTAGCATGAGTGAACTGTCCCCATTACTCATCTGTAATGTGGGACATTACTCATTACAGATGAGTAATATGGCAGCATAAGAAAAGGAGAGATGCCCTTCCCTTCTCCCTAACTCCCCTACTCCAAACCCATCAATGCTCCCGGGTTGTGGGAGAGCTGGCCCTGCTCCTTCATCAGCACCAGCACTCAGGACAGAGGACCCTATGCCATACCTGGGCAACACAGTACAACTGACCCTGAAAGAGGAGGTGTGAGACATCTGACACTGAGGTCTTGAAAGCAGGTGAACTGGCATGCTCCTTGCTCATCTCTGCCAGGGGTGAACTTTCCAGGACAACACAGGAGAGCTCACCCTAGTGGTGAGGACAAGGGAGACCTGGCAGGCTGACTAACCTGCAACTACCCAGGTCCAGAACCAGGGTTATGAGTTGGCCAACCCAACATCCACCCCATCTGTGATCTACTGGAACACAGATAGGAGCCGGTCCTGCAGACCCAAAGCTTCAGCGATTCCACAACACAGGGAAACTGCAAGATAATGAAGAGGAGTTCCACTGACAGCCCAGAATCCATAGTGTAGCAGAAACCAGAGGCCTCAAACCAGACCAATGACTCTCTGCAATGAGCACTTGCAAGTAAAGATATATGGAAAAGGGGTTTGGTCATGGATGAATGATTTGAAAAATTAGTTCCTTACCTAGTTATTTCTTTTTCTAGTTCAGTATTTCTTTTGTTCCCATCCTCCAAACCCTGGGTCAATGTTCGAATTAATTCATTCTGAAAAAAAGTATATGTGTTTATATTTTAAAATTATCTATATATGTCAAATGTTATCTATATCACACCACCTCTTTCTAAGACTCGGTGATCATTAGAGAAGAGGAGATGGAAAGATTATTAAGAGTGCAAGGTTGTGGATTAGTACAGAGTGTTTCCTGGACACCTCAGGGTAGCTACATATATGAATTCACAGCAGTCAAAACAGCATGCACAAGACCTGTGTATGCTCAAGTAAAACAGAATTCTAGCATAGTGAGGGATTTGACTACAAATACCTACCCCTAGCTAAGGAGAGGTTGGCAAGTGATCTATGGGAGAAGGATCATCAATTCCTTTAAGGGTAGAATCCTTGGTGGGTTGACACCCTCCCATGAATGCTACATATCCAAACATGTATGTGTAGCACAAAATGGACTTAATGAGTTTAAAGAAGAAATAAAACACACAGTTGAGTGTTTGGTGAAGTGAAGGCAGGTCTGAGATGAGCTGGGGGAGGGTCATATATGATCAAAATACACTGAACAATATTCTCAAAGAACTATTTAAAATAAAAAAAAGACTGTACTTGGGAAATGTGCTTGTCTAATGATCTAGTACTTATTCTTTTTTTCTCCATTTTTTAAATTTAAATTAGAAACAAGATTGTTTGACATGTCAATCCCAGTTTCCTCTCCCTCCCCTCCTCCCCTGACCCCACTAACACCCTACCTATCCCATATCATTTCTGCTCCCCAGAGAGAGTGAGGCCTTCCATGTGGGTTCTACAGAGTCTGTCATATCCTTTGGGATAGGGACTAGACCCTCCCCTATGTGTCTAGGCTGAAGGAGTATCCCTCTATGTGAAATGGGCTCCCAAAGTCCATCTAGTACTTATTCCTTAAGAAAATTAAATATTACAAGTCACTAATACTCAAGATTCATGGAAAAGTTTAGGATACAATGGAAATGCAACATTGTATCAAATATTTATATCTTATAATTATACATTATTATGATGTGCTGGCACGGATCAAAAAGACCATTAGACATTAGTTTTCCACACAGAAATGTTAACAATAGCCAAATACATGAAAACTGAATGTCCACCAATGGGTAAATAGGTAAGCCAAGTATGGTAAGTATGAAATATTGAGTTTAGATGATACCAGTATTTATCATTAATTACTTATCACCAGTGGGACATGGTAGCTTATATTTTTGTTTTAATACCAGAATTCTGGAAGTAAAGTAAATTCTAGCATGAATTTGGTATTATCCTGGGCTACATAGTCACTTTCTCAGAGGCTAGCCTGGGCTACATAGTCCCTGTCTCAAACACAAATCTTATTCTCAGAGTAATAAATTTTACAAATTCAGAGAACTATGTAAAGCTCAGATAATTTGAACTACTATTTACAAAGTTACAATATTGATATATCAAATATATGACCACTGATAATATTCATATCTCCTAAATGTGTCTGTAAGCTACTACTAGACATGGGAAATTTTGTTCTCAGTCTTACAGAAATTAATACAAAGTGGGCCTAGTAAATGCGTACTTACTTGGGTTGTCTGAATCTGTTCACTTTCCTCAGCTTGATGCTTTGTTGTTGCTTGTAAGTCTGAATTTTCAAGCTTAAGCCTAAAATACATATTTTAGAATGATTGTGTTTACTTTACACATTTGAAAATACCAAGTTAGCATCTGAACAAATGAGTGAATGATCATAGAATTTCTGAACATTTATTTTGGTTGTGAGCCTAGCTTTTAACGGCTGAGACATCTCTCCAGCCCAAATTTCTGAACATTTATGACATACAGTGATTTGGGAACTGTACCAGTCTTTGAGTAGCTGTTTGTCTGTACAAACTTTAGAGGTAAGATGAACAAATATGAGCCGTCATTTTTGTCTTAGTAACGCTGTGTACCAAACTTACAGATGCAAACATACAAAACATACCCACCTACACTGAGCATCAACAACCAAAGTAAACCATGCATTGTAGCTAAACTAAGAGCCAAATTTTTCCTCTGATTTCAAAAAGGGCTCAATTGCTATGAATAGTACAAATTCTCTCGTGTCACTGCTTGCTTGCTGGAATACACTCAAGCTATTCAGCATGGTGCTCTCATCATAGAACTCTGTAGATGATCTACATCTCCAAAGTGCATGGTGCAGCTTCTGAGTGTTCATTCAGTGACTCATGCCTCATGCCTCATGCCTCATGCAGCTAGAAGAAGCAATAGCTAGGTGCTGTCCCATGGTCCTGCTGCCACAGACAGAACACTGCCATCGGGCCTTTCCTGTCATGGTACACTAGAAATGCTCTGAAATGTTGAGCCAAAATCACCTTTTCTCTATCAAGCTGACTTGTCAGATAGCATCTCTGCAGTGAGGAAACCTGATTAACATAGGAGGTGGGTGCCACATCATCACTGCTGGGATGAAACTGGCCATGTGCTTCTTAGACTTCTGGAACTTATTTATGGGCATATGAAAGATTCTGGAGCAATGGTTTACAGAAGGCCCAGAATAAGATCAGCCTAATGAGCCATTCTTATGTGCATTCATGAGTCCAGAATGTCCATAAAAATGCAGGCATCAAGGTCTCTGACCATGAGGTTTCAGGTGTTGTAAAATACTCTTCCCAAGAGTAGGACAGAGGCATACACATTACATTCTGTCAAGGATCCATGTCCTGAAATGTTCAGTGATGTGGAATTAAAAATAGCAGATTAGTTTATTTAGTGGTGGAAATAGTCTAGAAATCATTACTTTTAAGGCTGTGACATTGTTATTGTTCATGGTTTTAGCAGAATTTACAGAGATATTCAAGAGCAAAAAAAATGGGCAGAAGAGAGACCTCCATCCAACCATTAATGCTTGAGCGTAGTGGGAATGTTGGCCCTGAGGTCATAAGGGCATAAGGACAGGAGAGCAGCAGCCCCTGCCTCCCACCAGCGTTACAAGCCTCAGTTGAGAAGACCCTGCCCCTCACCTGGGCAGCACCATAGAACTGATCCTGCTGGCAGAGGTGTGGGTGAGAACTGCAACCATTACTCATCTGACAGTATGAGTGGAGGAGAGCTGGCCCTGAGGTCATAAGGGTGGGAGAGCAGCCCCTGTCCCCTACCAGCTGAAACACTATGGAGAGGTGGTCCTAGACCTCACCTGGCCAGCACAATAAACCCAATTCTGTTGGCAGAGCCAGCCTTGTAGCTGTGAGCATGGGAGAGTTGTCCCCATTACTCATCAGCAACATAGTGGCATGGGCAAAGGAGAGATTCCCTTCCCCACACCTCCAACCTGGAGCCCATTAATGCCTTAGGCTTGTGGGAGAGCTGGCCATGAAGTGGAAAGAGCAGGAGAGCTGGCCCTGCCCTCATCAGCTGCAGCACTCAGGTGAGAGCCTCCTACACCATACCCGGGCAACACAGTAGAGCTGGCCCTGCAGGTGGGGGTGTGGGAGATCTGACCTTGAGGACTTGAAAGAAGGAGAACTGGCCCAGCCTCTTGCTCATCCCTGCAAGGGGTGAACTTGCCAGCACAACACAGGAGAGCTCACCTTGGTGGTGAGGACAAGGGAGATCTGGCAGGCTGAACAACTCTGCAACTACCCAGGTCCCGAGCCAGATTTATGAGTTGGCCCAGCCCAGCATCCACCCCACCTGTGATCTACTGGAGAATGTGTAGGGTCTGGTCCTACATATGCAGGATCTCCATAACACAGAGAAACAGCAAGATAATAAAGAGGGGTTCCACTGACAGTCCAGCATTGATAGTGTAGCAGAAACCAGAGGCCTCAAACCAGACCAATGACTCTGCAATGAATACTTGCAGGTAAAGATATATGGATAAAAGGGTTTGGTCATGGATGAATGATTTGATAAATGAATGTCTTACCTAGTTATTTCTTTTTGTAGTTCACTATTTCTTCCCTTCCCAATCTTCAAACCATGTGCTAATAATTGAATTAATTCATTCTGAAAAATGAAGTACATATATTTATATTTTTAAAGTATTTATATGATTTTAAATATATCTGCATCATGCCACATCTTCCCAAGACTCAGTGTTCATTATAGAAGATGAGATGGAAAGAGTAGTAAGAGGCCAAGGCAGTTGATTACTAGAAGTATGTTTCCTAGACACAGCAGGGCAGTTGTATATATGAATTCAAACCAGTCAAGACAGCATGCACAAGACCAGTGCAGTCTCAAGGCTGACTGAATTTCAGCATGGAGAGGAAGGTGCCTACAAATGCCTACCCCTAGCCAGGGTTGTTGACAATTAATCACTGGGGAAAGGATGATCAATGTTCTTTAACGGTAGAATCATTGGTGGCTTGACACCCTCCAGTGAAGGCCACACATCCAAACATATATGTATAGCACAAATTGGGTAATGAGTTTAAAGAAGATAAAAACACACAGTTGAGCATTTGATGAAGGCAGGTCTGTGATGAGTTGAGGGAGGGTCATATATGATCAAAATATATTGCACAAAATTCTTAAATAATTACTTAAAATAAGAAAAGAAGACTGTACTCTGGGAAATGTGCTTGTCTAATGATTTAAGAAAACTAAATAGTACAAGTAACTAATACTCAAGATTTCATGGAAAGGCTTAGGTTATAATGGAATTCCAACTTTTTCTTCCAACATTTATATCTTATAGTTATACATTATTATGATGTACAGGGATCAAAAAGACAGTTTGACATTAGTTTTCTACACAGTATTGTTAACAATAGCTAAGTACATGAAATCTCAATGTCTACCAATGGGTAAATGGGTAAGCCAAGTATGGTAAGTATGAAATAATAAGTTTAGAGGATCACAATATTTATTATTAATTACTTATCTCCAGTGGGACATGTTAGCTTATGTTTCTGCTTTAATCCCAGAAGTCTGGAAGTAAAGTGAAACACAGCATGAATTAGGTATTAGCCTGGGCTACATAGTCCCTGTCTCAAAAACAAATCTTATTCTCAGAGTAATAAATTTTACAAATCCAGACAACTCCTATAAAGCTCAGATAATTTGAATTACTTTTCACAAAGAATTACAATATGAATATATCATATGTATGACCAGTGAGAATATTCATATCTCCTAAATGTTGTTATAATCTACTGCTAGACACAGGAAATTATCTTCTCAGTATTACAGAAACTAATACAAAATGGGTTTAATAAAGACTTACTTGGGTTTTCTGAATCTGTTCATTTTCTTCTGCTTTATGCTTTGTTGTTGCTTGTAAGTCTGAATTTTCAAGCTTAAGCCTAAAATACATATTTAAGATTGATTGTGTTTACTGCACACATTTGAAAATGCTCAATTAGATTCTGAACAAATGGGTGAATGACCTTAAGAATTCTGAACATTTTTGAAATACAATGATTTGGAAACTGTACCAGTCTTTGGTGACTGTTTGTCTGTACAAACTTCAGAGGTTTATGAACAAATATCGTCTTTATTGTTTGTCTTAGAGGTGCTGTGAATCAGACTTACAGATTCAAACATACAACAGGTACACACCTCCACTGAGCTTCAACAACCAAAGTAAACCATGCATTATAGCTAAACTAAGAGCCAATTTTCCCTCTGATTTCAAAAGGGTATAACTACTATGAATAATACAAATTCTCTGGTGTCACAGCTTGATTGATGGAATATACTCAAGCTATTCCACACTGTGCTTTCATCATAGAACTTTGTAGATGATCTCCATTTCCCAAGCTCATGGTCATCTTCTGAGTGTTCATGTAGTGCCTCATTCCTCATGCCTCATGCCTTGTGCAGCTAGAAGAAGCAATAGCTAGGTGCTGTCCCATGGTCCTGCTGTCACACACAGAACACTGCCATTGGGCCTTTCCTGTCATGGTTCACTAGAAATGCTCTGAAATGTTGAGCCAAAATCACCTTTTCTCTATCAAGCTGACTTGTCAGATAGCATCTCTGCAGTGAGGAAACCTGATTAACATAGGAGGTGGGTGCCACATTATCACTGCTGGGATGAAACTGGCCACGTGCTTCTTAGACTTCTGGAACGTATTTATGGGCATATGAAAAATTCTGGAGCAATGGTTTACAGAAGGCACAGAATAAGGTCAGCCTAATGAGCCATTCTTATGTGAGTTCATAAGACCAGAATGTCCATAAAAATGCAGACATCGGCCGGGAGGTGGTGGCACATGCCTTTAATCCCAGCATTCTGGAGGCAGAGGCTGGCAGATCTCTTTGAGTTCGAGACCAGCCTGGTCTACAAGACCTAGTTCCAGGATAGTCTCCAAAGCCACAGAGAAACCTTGACTCGAAAAACAAAAATCAAACAAAATGCAGACATAAAGAACTCTGATCATGAGATTTCAGGTTCTATAAAATACTGTTCCAGAGAGTAGGACAGAGGCATACACATTACATTCTGTCAAGGAGTTTGGATCCATGCCCTGAAATGGTCAGTGATGTAGAAATAAACATAGCAGGTTAATTTATTTAGTGGTGGAAATAGTCATTATTCTTAAGGTTGTGACATTGTTATTGTTTATGGTTTTAGCAGAGTTTCCAGTGATACTCAAGAGCAAAAAAGTTAGGCAGGAGAGAGACCCCCACCCCTCCACCCACCGATCAATGCTTGAGGAAGGTGGGACAGGTGGCCCTGAGGCAAAAAGGGCATAAGGACAGGAGAGCAGCCTGTCTCCCACCAGCTACAATCCTCAGGAGAGAAGACCCTGCCTCTCACCTGGGCAGCACAAAGAGCTGATCCTGTTGGCAGAGGTGTGGATGAGAATTGCCCCATTAGTTATCTGTCAGCAAGAGTGGAGGACAGCTGGCCCTGAGGTCATAAGTGTGGGAGAGCTGCCCGTGTCTCCCACCAGCTGAAAGTCTATACAGGGGAGGTCCTCCACCTCCCCTGGCAGCACAATAAAGACAATTGCATTGGCAGAGCCAACCCTATATTTGTGAGCATGGGAGAGCTGTCCCCATTGCTCACCTGCAACATGGTGGCATGGGCAAAGGAGAGATGCCCTTCACTTCCACTCCAATCCCCCTACCCCAAGCCCATTGATGCTCCAGGCTTCTGGAGAGCTGGTCTTGCCCTTCATCAGCTGCAGCTCTCTCAGGAGAGAGGCCCCTACACCACACCTGGGCAACACAGTTGAGCTGATCCTGAAGGTGGAGGCATGGGACATCTGACACTGAGGACTTGAAAGCAGGTAAACTGGCCCTGCCCCTTGCTCATCACTGCAAGAATGAACTTTGCAGGACAACACATGAGAGCTCATCATGGTGATGGGGAAAGGGAGATCTGTCAGGCTGACAAACCTGCAAGTAACCAGGCCCAGAACCAGGGTTGTGAGTTGGTCCACCCCAGTATCCACCCCATCTGTTATCTACTGGAACAAGTGAAGGGACCGATCTTGAAGACCCAAATCAGCAGCATCTCCACAACACAGAGAAACAGCAAGATAATAAAGAGGGGTTCCACTGACAGTCCAGCATTGATAGTGTAGCAGAAACCAGAGGCCTCAAGCTAGACCAATGACTCTGCAATGAATACTTGCAGGTAAAGATATATGGATAAAAAGGTTTGGTCATGGATGAATGATTTGAAAAATTATTGCCTTACCTAGTTATTTCTTTTTGTAGTTCACTATTTCTTTTGTTCCCATCCTCCAAACTCTGTGTCAATGTTTGAATTAATTCATTCTGAAAAAAAAGTACATATATTTATATTTTCAGTTTATTTATATGATTTTAAATATATCTTTATCACATCCCCTATTCCCAAGACTCAGTCATCATTATGAAAGAGGAGATGGAAAGATTGTTAAGAGTGCAAGGCAGTGGATTACTACAAAAGTGTTTTCTGGATCCAGCAGGGCAGTTGCATATATGAATTCAAATTCAAAGCAGATGAGACAGCAGGCACAAGACCTGTGCAGGCTTCAGGCAACAGAATTCTAGCATGGAGAGGTGGGTGGATACAAAGACCTACCCTAAGCTAAAGAGAGGTTGGCAATTGATCCATCAGAGAAGGATCATCAATTTTCTTTAAGATCAAAGAATCTCTGGGGGGTTGACACCCTCCAGTGAAGGCTACACAACCAAATATGTATGTGTAGCTCAAATTGGACTTAATGAGTTTAAAGAAGGACTAAAACACAGAGTTGAGAGTTTGGTGAAGAGAAGATGAGTTGGGGGAGGGTCGTGTATGATCAAAATATACTGTAGAAAATTCTCAATGAACTATTTAAAATAAGAAAAATCACTGTACTCTGGGAAATGTGCTTGTCTAATGATCTAGTACTTGTTCTTTAAGAAAACTAAATGTTAGTTAAATAATGCTCAAGATATCACAGAAAGACTTTGGCTACAATGGAAATCCACCTTTTTCATCAAATATTTATATCTTAGGGTTATACATTATGATGATGTATTGGCAGGGATCAAAAGGACAGTGTGACATTAGTTTTCTACACATCACTGTTAACGATATCCAAATACATGAAAACTAAAAGTCCACCAAAGTGTAAATGGGTAAGCCAAGTATGGTAAGTATAATAAAATCATGAGTTTAGACATCACAATATTTATCTTAAATTACTTAACACCAGTCGGACATGGTAACTTATGTTTTTGTTTAATTCCCAGAAGTCTGGAAGTAAAGTGAAACACAGCATGAATTGGGTTATTAGCCTGGGAGACATAGTCACTTTCCCAGAGGCTAGCCTCGGCTACATAGTCCCTGTCTCAAAAACAAATCTTATTCTCAGAGTAATAAATTTTATAAATTCAGACAACATCTGTAAAGCTCAGAGAATTTGAACTACTATTCACAAACTGTTACAATATGAATATATCAAATATAGACTACAGAGAATATTGATATCTCCTAAAATGTTGTTATAAACTACTGCTAGACACAGGCCATTTTCTTCTCAGTCTTTCAGAAATTAATACAAAATGAGCTTAATAAACATGGACTTACTTGGGTTTCCTGAGTCTGTTCGGTTTCCTCTGCTTGATATTTTGTTGTTGCTTGTAAGTCTGAATTTTCAAGCTTAAGCCTAAAACACAGAATGATTGTGTTTACTTCACACACTTGAAAATACCCAATTAGATTCAGAACAAAAGTGTGAATGATCCTAGGAATTCTGACCATTTTGAAATACAGTGATTTGGAAACTGTACCTGTCTTTGGTTGGCCCTTTGTATGTACAAATTTTAGAGGTAATATGAACAAAATATGAGCTTTCTTTTTTTGTCTTAGTGATTCTATGTATCAAACTTACAGATTTAAACATACAACACATACGCAACCCCCACTGACTTCAACATCCAAAGCATGTATTTTAGGTAAACTAATTGCAGAAATTTCCTCTGATTTCAAACGGGCTCAATTGTTATGAATGATACAAATTCTCTCGTGTCACTGCTTGCTTGCTGGAATAAACTCAAGCTGTTCAGCACGATGCTCTCATCATAGAACTCTGTAGATGATCTCAATTCTCCTAAGCTCATGGTGCAGCTTCTGAGTGTTCATGCAGTGACTCATGCCTCAAGCAGCTAGAAGAAGCAATAGCTAGGCGCTGCCTCTTAGTCCTGCTGCCACAGACAGAACACTGTCATCGGGCCTTTCCTGTCATGGTACACTAGAAATGCTCTGAAATGTTGAGCCAAAATCACCTTTTTTCTATCAAGCTGACTTGTCAGATAGCATCTCTGCAGTGAGGAAACCTGATTAACACAGGAAGTGGGGGCCACATCATCACTGCTGGGATGAAACTGGCCATGTGCTTCTTAGACTTCTGGAACTTATTTATGGGCATATGAAAGATTCTGGAGCAATGGTTTACAGAAGGCCCAGAATAAGATCAGCCTAATGAGCCATTCTTATGTGAGTTCATGAGACCAGAATGTCCATAAAAATGCAGACATAAAGAGTCTGATCATGAGGTTTCAGGTGCTATAAAATACTCTTCCCAAAAGTAGGACAGAGGCATACACACTACATTCTGTCAAGGAGTTTGGATCCATGCTCAGAAATGTTCAGTGATGTGGAATTCAAAATATTAGGTTAGTTTATTTAGTGGTGGAAATAGTCTAGAAATCATTACTCTTCAGGCTGTGACATTGTTACTGTTCCTGGTTTTAGCAGAGTTTACAGTGATATTCAAAAGCAAAAAAGTAAGGCAGAACAGAGACCCCACCCCTCCCCCCACCCATCAATGCTTGAGGAAGAGTGGGAGAGCTTGCCTTTTATAGGATTTATTTCCTTGAGTCAAATAGTTATATTCTGAAGAATTTATTCCACATAGAATAATTCCACATGTAGAAAAGCTTTTTTTATAAATGGTATTCCTTGCAGCATACTTGTAAAATATCTTTTAAAACTATAATTGTTGTCTCACAAATAGACATTAAAATTGTGATTTGAGGGAACACGTATGTAATTATAGAAAATAGTCACAATTAGATATTATTGGCAATTACATTAATTTCACACTCCACAAGACTAAGACTTTTCTCAGGTAGGCACAGAGGCTCCCAACCTGTCAACCCAAACATCAAACAGCCAAGGCCAAGAGATCACAAATTTGGTGCTTCCCTGGACTACATAAAGATATGTATCAAAAAATAATAATAAAACCCGAACTTGAAAAGTTTTCTCCCCCCAAAGAACGCTTCTAAAGTAAGTGACAAACTGCAAAAAAAATTCTACTTATTATCTAATGTAAGCAGTTAAAGGATTTTAAAATTTGGGATGTCATACCTCAGATTGTGCATTTCTGCTTTCAATTTAGTGTTCTCCGTATCTACTTTTAACTTTCCTTTGACTGTTTTTGACACCTTCTTCTGGATGGCACTGAGATTAATTTTTAAATTTTTATGTCTTTCTTGAAGTAGTTCAAAATCATGTGTTTTAAGCTCCAGTGATTTCCTATATGAATGAAGTGCACTCGAGATCCTCATGAGGCTGGGGGAATCTGAATTGGGGGAAAAGGGACAAATGAAGTACAGCAGCATCTTTGATACATGAGACAGTCTAGAGTTTCACTTAATGTTGCCCTGCTGAAAGGTATACTGATGGCCTACACTGTGGGACACATTGTGTTAAGATCTACAGTTAAAAATAAGAGAACAATTATGGTACCCTAGCCTAAAAACTAGTGGGAAGACAGACATAAAAACAAACATTACAAATTCAGATGACACTGAAATGAAACCAAGTTTTGACATCAAGTAAGCATATGGCTCTTCCATATGCCCTAATGGAAGAGGTGCATAGTCGTGAAGCATGAACAAGAAATAGTTGGCCATTGTGAAGAGGCACATTGTAGGTAGTCTACAGCATGCCCAGGCACTACTGCCCTCCAGTTCTGACAAAGATTGAGTAAAAGGTCCTGGTTTTGACTCCTACCTGAAACAACACACCTCAAATAAGGAAAAAAAATGTTTTAAAGACTGAAAATTATATACTTCCAACAAGGAAGAAAACTGTCCCTAATAGGCACAAAAATAGTTAAATTATATTACCCAACTTTCTATCTCCCTGCTATGAGGTAGCTCAGGCTTTGTTAGGATATGAAGGGGACAAAGTTGTTCAGACTCTACCAGACTCCTGGAGCTGAGGTGTTATTTGGTGAAACAAGGCAGCTAGAAATCACAGGACAGAACTCTAGAGAGGAAGGAGCTAAAAAGAAGGGATGGATGCTCTGAGATTTAGAGAGGCCACCTTGGACATACTGCAGAGCATTGAAGAACACAGGTATTCCAGGAAATGGCCTAGGGCTGAGGGACTCAACATCTGACACAATTATAGAAGTTGGTCTGGTGTTCACACAATGCCAGGAAGAGTATGTCCCTTCCCATAAGGCAGGTTGAAGGAGTAATAGTTCACAGGGTCATAGTTAGTAAAGAGAAAGGTCTTGCTTCAGTCATGGAGAATGAGCTATAGGAAGATGCAGCTAACGTATAGCAAATATAAGTTCTGTGCTACTATACCCAACAAGTTATACAAACAATAATGGAATAATCTGAGTATAAGCAACATGTGTTAATAATAAAATTCAGGAAAAAATAGGTACATCATGAAGGATAATTTTAAACAAACTTCCCTTGTAGAGATACAAACTAGCAGACATCAGATAGCATGACAACAGCAACCTAATTAGTTCACCCTTGAGTAACACACATGGATCTGTGCAGCGTCTCATGAGACTATTTGAAACCCAATTTACTGATAGGACACATAACTAGAAATGTTACAAATGAGATAAGTGTATATCACGAGTGCATGGGTCATTGTTAAATAGTTTAGGATTTACTACTATAAAGATACACAGATTTTATCTTCATTTTAAGTTAACAAAACTTGAGTGATGTCACAGTCTGTACATAAGACAAGAATGTAAACAATACTGAGATGCATAGCTACAATATTGAACAAATTTCATGGCCACTTCTGGTTGCCACTGTAGTAAGCTCAAGGCTTATGAGAATGTGAAGAAAAAACCACATGATGTCAATAATTCATATGTGGACAGCTCTTCTTTTCAATAAATTGCCCACTATGTTAAATGACCTCTCATAATTTTTATGTATCTCTCACAATATATATGGTATATTAAATGTGGAAAGTCTGTCTGTAAAACCTATTTAGATTCTTGGTCTGACCTCCACTCACCAGCCAGCTTAAAAGATAAGTTCTTGGAGAATGAAAACATGTGTGTATATTTTACCATGCAGTGGAATGGTAAAATTCATCTTATATCAACCATTTATAAATGAACACATGAAATTAAAAAGGTGTGAAATCTGTGAAAGGATGATATCTGGAAGAATGTCTCAGTCATTAAAGTGTTTGCTATGCAAGCTATCCAAATCTGAGTTTAGAACTTTTTTTAAAGTTGCGCATGCTGGCACATCCTGCCATCTTAATGCTGGGAGGCACCGACAGGAGGACACCTGGAGCTCATTGTCTTGCTAACCCAACTGAATTAGGGAGTGTCAGGCTCAATGAGACGTGCTATCAAAAAAAATGATAGTGGAGAACAATAGAGGAAGATGCCTGGCATCAAATAACATAGGTACAGACACAGATATACACACACACATGAATGGGCATGCACACACACATGCACACACACACATGAACACATTAGCACCAATACCCCCCAGAATGGTAAAAATATACAAGTGGATAAAAATTAGATCCAACCAGGTTTATGGGAGATAGCTCAGTGCACAAGAGCATTTTCTAGTTGTCTGAGCATAAGAACCTGAGTTCAAATCTCCAGCACCCACATAAAAAGCTGCATATGATCATACATGTGCAGCTGGAATCCCAGCCTTTGAGAACTGGAGACAAGAGTAGTGCTGCTAGGATGCTAACCTAGCTTCAGCTTCAGTGAAACACTACCCCAAAGGAATAAGCTACAGGATGATACAGCAGGATACCCCAAATTCTCCTCTGGTCTGTACATGTACACAGGTACATACAGCCTAACACCAGGTGTACAGACATACACATGTGTTCATGCACACACACACACACATACAAGACAACTAAATGATGTCTCTAATTAATTTTTAAAGATTTTATTTATTTATTTATTATGTATAAACATTCTGCTTCCATGTATATCTGCACACCAGGAGAGGGCACCAGATCTCATAACAGATGGTTGTGAGCCACCATGTGGTTGCTGGGAATTGAACTCAGGACCTCTGGAAGAGCAGCCAGAGCTCTTAACTTCTGAGCCATCTCTCCAGCCCCTCTAATTAATTTTTAAATGGGAAATATGTAGCATTCTAATACTTAAAATACTATCTTAGCTAGAATGGCTGGCAATGTAGACTTTCTAGCAAAACTTAGCATAAGGCAAAAAAAAAAAAAAAAGAAAGAAAGAAAAACCCAGGCCACCCCATAACAACAATCCACAAGACACAAAGTTCTAATGTAAATGGAACAAGTTCAGCCTCCAATGACATGGCACAAAATAGAACTTCCAGAAGTAGACAAATTCCTAAGTGCCAGATGAGATGTCAATTCTCTTTACTCAGCAAGTGATAGAACAGGTAGACAGAGAAGCAGTAAAATGGTGTCAAACTACATTTTTCTTCCAAACATAGAGCATATTCTAAGAATATAGCATCAGAGTATATTCTATACAATAAAACTAATAAAAAGATTAAATCAAAATGATTTAAGCAATGCCAAGTATGTTCTCTTAACAAAAATAACAAGCAAATGAAAAACTAAAATCAGAAATGCTCCTAGAAACTATCCAAGTATCTGAAATTAAATAACAGTCAAAATAGTTCTGTGACAAGAGGGTATTGAAAACATAACCCAAAGTATTTGGGGTTGAAAAACAACAACAAAAATACAAGAAACCAGAGTTTGTGGAATGTAACTGTGGCAGTGTTGAACTGAAAATATTAGCACTGGGTGTTTCCACTAGGTTCACAAAGCAATGACTTTTCTCCCATTTTAAGAAATAATAGAAGGACTGAGAGATGGCTCCACAGTTAGGAGCATCTATTGCTTTTATAGAGGACCCAAATTCAGTTCCCAGCACCCACATGATAGCAAACACTAACGGTATCTGATGCCCTCTTTAGGCTCTCTTTTTCTCCCCTCTCTCTCTCTCCTCTCTCTCCTCTCTCTCTCTCTCTCTCTCTCTCTCTCTCTCTCTCTCTCTCTCTCTCTCTCTCTCTCTCATCTTAGTGTGTCTCCTCAAAGTTTGCATTATGTAGTGTAACCATAGCCCTGGTGGTATTGTGAGAAGGGGCTGTGGGGAGCTGGTTATATGGTGTGGGCAGAGCCATCATGAAAAGCTTTAACATTCTTTATCAAAGTGACTCTAGAGAGCTGCTTCATTCCTCCAGCCTAGGGAAAATGCAAGAAAAAGGCACAACCTACCCGTGAGGAAGTAAGTATACCTACTCTCAGTTAAGTCTGCCAGTGACTTTGATTAGACTTCACAGCACCCAAAACCCTGGGCAATTAATTTTACACAATGCGTTGGCTGCCTAGTCTTCAGCCTGTTGTTTTAGCATGTAAGCCTACATGCTAAACCACACAACATACTAAATCACAACAACACCAACACAGTGAGCTGCCTGCATGCACTCACTGAAGCTCAGTGGGATTGGTGGCAGCTCCTGCTGATACTAGTTCTCACTCTTCTTTGATATAAAGCCAATCAGTGACATGGACAACACTCTAATACACTCTTGTCCTATTGAGCAGCACTAAGCAGTGTGTGAACACATCTACACACACACACACACACACACACACACACACAGAAGACCACGTGCAACACTCTTACCTTTGCTGTCCCTCATGAGCTGTTCAATGAGGGACAAGATCTTGTCAAAACTGAGCATCTCACAGTCCTTTGAGTTTCTCTCATATGGCAGCACAAATTTATTAGGGTCAAATGTATTACTTATTTCTTTGACCTACAAAAGGAGTAATGGAAATTTCAGATGTCCACAAATTATTTATACCAAACACCAAAGATGTGGTAAATATCTACTTTTTTATATTACCAGACAGTCTGGGTGTAGTTATGCACACATTTAATCTCAATAGGGAGAAGCAGGTGGATATCTATGAGTTCCAGGCCAGCCTGGTCTAAACAGTGAGTTTCAGGCCAGTTAGGGATATACGGTAAGACATTGCCTCAACAACAACAAAAAAGCATAGATACATATCTCATAGAAAAGATAGCTTTACATTGGTTACTCTTTCTTAATGATTTTTTCAAAATGTCTTCATATAACCAAAAAACTCAATTTTTAAATTTTACATCCATAATATAATTTAAATTAATGATGGGTCAGTTTGTGTTTTACACTGTATTTTAATTAAGCTATTTTAAATTAATTTTCCCATACCTTATTCTTTGCTTCAAAAGTTTCCATCACAGACCTACAAAAGAATAAATTCCTCTCAGAAAAGTATTAAATCTATTAAACACAAACAAATTCCAATGTTTTCCTTCTACCCATAATATGTACTGACTGAACTACAATGACTTCATATTCAAGAATAGGATTGTAAACAGGACGAGAACTAGGAGTCAGAAATGTATTATCACTACCACTATCATAAAAGGAAAAGTTTCAGTTCATCATCCTACCAGTGTATTATATTATAGAAATAAATGCACAAAGATTTCTACTGTAATTTTCAGCAAAAACCAATTTTTGGTCAGTAAAACTCATTTTAAAATAGTATTTTCTTCTTTCTTATACGTGGTGAACACTTAGTGACAGAATGTAAGGCAGTTTTTCCTTGGGAACTATGACTCAGGTGGTACTCACTATTATAAGGACTGGGCTTGTGTTTAACTTTAGTTCTCACAGCCTATTAGCTACTGTGTAAAGGTAGAATATAGGCAGAGACTGAGTGTCACCCCAGCCCAGGCAGCTGGCTGAGTGGAAGATTTAGAATTCAAATCCAGAATTATATGGTGGAAAATAATAATCATCTTCAGATGACTTTAAGAGACATAACAAAAAATTAATCTGCATTATCATCCTATTTTATTATAATTACAGCTAACAACATAGGATTGTAGATAATTTGGGGAGCTCCCCCATCCAAGTATTAACCACAGGTGACCATGCTTGGCTTCTGAGAGCAGATAAAATCTGGCTCATTTAGTGTCATATGGCCATAAACTTAAGTTTTTTTTTCTGAGAAACTGTGTAGTCAAAATTCCCAATTCTCCTGCCTCAGGAACCACCATGCCCACCTTGAATTTTTTTTTCCAAAAGCAAAAGGATGGAGCTGACTCAACTGGTAAAGTCTCCCCTTTGCAAGCCTGAGGACCTGGGTTCAACGCTACAAAAAACAAATTAAAAAGCCAGGTGTGGGGTGGATGAGATAGCTCAGTGCTAAAAGCTCCCACTGCCAATCCTGAAGATGTGAGTTCAATACTCAGGATGTACATAGTGGCATGAGAAAAGTGACTCCCACAAATTGTCCTCTGAGGTAGCCACGCACACTGAGCATAAACACACACACACACACACACACACACATGCAGTTTTAAAGCAATAATTTTCTTGAAACTTGGGTGTGGTCATGTACACTTGTAATAAGTCCTGTGGAGACAGAAACAGTAAAAACCCTGGAGCAGCCTGGTGAAATCCATGCCAATGAGAGACCATGGTCTCAACACCATGGATGGTACCTAAGGATTGGCAGTTGACTGTCCTTTGGCCTCAACATTCATGAATAGATACATAGACAAACATAAGACTATTTTATACTTAGGCAATACTAAACTAAGTTGTCACTTAACAAATTTAGTTGTTAAATCTGATTACATTATAGCTGCTCATGATGATACTATGAAATCCCTTAATGAATAATTAAATTCCATACCTGAATAGCCAATTGCATACTTTCTTATACATAATTTTGCAATGAATAGGGGTATGATTTTTACTTTGCATCAAGCTATTACTGTTTTCAAATTTTGACAGTGGGCAATCTGAATTTTTAATTCTTAAAAATCTATATGTGATAGTTCATCTTTTGATTTATAGCTTCCACATTGAACTAGAAGAAAATATTCCACCTGAATAATAACCTCTTGCCATAGAAATACAGGTATGAATAGAAGTTCCAAGGACCTTGTCTAGTGTAAATCTCCCAAGACAATGTATCAAGATTTCTAATGTTTACACATTCAAACATAACAATTTGAATAAACATGCACTTCTCTAGTACATCAATCTGACACCATGCAACCATATTTTAAAAGCTTTCATGTAAAAACTTTAAAATACATTAGCCTATGAATGTGACAACTTCAGTATCTTGATAACTGTTTAGAGAACCTACAAAATTTATGATTTCATCATGAATAGCCACACCCTCAGCATGCACACATATGAAGCATATTGTTATAAGTGTGTTTAGTATTTATATTATATACCCTTGATATACACTTGATATATACATGTAATATGTATAGTCACCTGTAGTACAAAATGCATAAATGTCTTTAACATCAGGTATACATGTATCTTCACAAGCAATATTTTTCCATCTCAGAATCATCTACTTCCAGAGTAAAGAATTAGGTTTAAAAGAGTTAAATATTTGAAATTTTGATACATGATACACATAATAAATTACCCTTCAAAATTTGTTCACTGATTTCAATGACAGTGTTTGCAATATGCTTTATTCTCACATTTGACAACAATGGTTGTCATTTTAATAAAACATGTCAGCATAATGGGAAATAATAGCATCTGATTGTTGATTAGCATCTTGTGATCATGCAAGACAAAGTGTCCCAGGTGTAAGAAGTATGGAACATGTTCATTAGTCACACAAGCTTCAGTGAAGAATAGTGTCAACTATTAAATAATCACTGTAGCCTTACCCATCATTTACTTGGTTCTCAACAGTAATCTGCTGGTCTTCAGCTTTTTCATCCTGTATTTGTAGGGCTGAAGCTGCCGCACCAAAATTCAGGTTTTCTGATGTATCCACCTTGTTGACATTGTGCTTCTCAGTTTTTTCTGTGACCTTTGATGACAGTTTGATATTAAGAATAACTAATTTTTATGTGGCTCTGTGGCGCAATGGTAGCACATTAGACTTCTAGTGATGAAGAATAACTAATTTTAATTTTTTAAAATTTATTTTATGTGTATGAGTGTCTTGTCTGCATGTATGCCTATACAGTATGTGTAGGTCTCATGCTCTCAGAAGCCAGAAGGGGGCATCAGATCCCCTGGGACTGGAGTTATAGATAGTTGTTAACCACTATGTGGTTGCTAGGGATTGATCCCAGGTCCTCTGAAAGAGTACCCAGAGCTCTTAACTGCTGAGCCATCTCTCCAGCCCAATAACTGATATTCTTTAATATAAAAACTTTTTCATTAATTTCACCACTTGGCTCCTTAGTTTTCACAATTTTCTTTCATAAAAACTACTTTGCAAGGTGAGGGAGGAACTCAGTGCTTAAGAGGCTTTCAAAATGTTCTCCCAGAGGGAAAAATTTTGGTTCCCAGCCCTCATGGCCAGCTGCTCACCACTGCCTGTAACTCCAGCTCCCTCTTCTGGCCACCTTAGCTACACAAACATGTGGAAGACATGTACACATACACACAAATAAAAATAACTTTAAAACAACAGAAAACACTACTTTATATTGAGTTTAGCCTCATTATTACATGGTGTCAATACTTATATAATTGTGCCTTGTTTCTGTTTGATCAAAAAGGAAGCGACCATTGCTAAATGATCATGTTATCAAACAGCCTTCTAAATATTAATGTTTATACCCATACATCTGTGCTACTCCCAAGGCTGGTTAGTGTTGGAACACAGTCCAAAAACGGAGTTGTGTGAGAATGCCGAGACTCATAAGAAAACAGGGCAAGAGCCTTGTGACCTCATTTTCATCAAAACACAAATGTTCTGGGAATATGTTTCCATGCTCCCCCGAGGGGTAGCAAATAGGAGTGAGTTTACTTCGGATGTTGTTATTCATATGCCTCTAAGGATAAACATATTTATGTCACATGTGACTTGTCCTTGTGATTAAACACCTTACTCATGGGATTTTTCTTAGCCCTCAAACTATAAATTGCCCGATGTTCTGAATAAAGTTGACTATTTCACAAGACTTTAGTCTTCCTCATTTTTAGGCCCAGCTCTCCAAGGTTCACGACGCCAACTAAAGCAGTAACAAGTTAGAGATACTTCTTTTTACAGAGACATCAATTAGTGCAGAAACTCAGACCTGCTCAAAGTGCCAAGAATATTCATGCTCAGCCCTAAGTGGGACATCTATAACATGTCCCAAGCACAGAGAACACTGACTTCTGGGTGGAGAGAGTAAATAGGAGGAAGAATTTGGGCTCTGGGGAGGAAAAGAAAAGACATGCCAGGGAGACACCAGGGTCCAGACAGACATGGAGGGAACAGGAAAGTAGGACATATAGGATGAAAGAAAGTTTTAAAAAAAGAGAGACAAATGTAGATAAAGAGAAACAAGTTAAATTAAGTTAAAAGAGCTAATGGGAAAGGCCCCAGCTAAGGCTGAGCATTCATAATTAATACTAAGTCTCCATGTCTTTATTTGGGAGCTGGTTGATGGCCCAAAGAAAATTCCAGCTACAGGAGGGGGAGAAGAAAAGGGAGAGGAGAACATGTTGTACAGGAGCTCTAGGGGATCTTGGGAGGGATGGAAGTATATGCTCAAATAAATTGTGTGTGTGTGTGTGTGTGTGTGTGTGTGTGTGTGTGTGTGTGTGTGATTCTCAAATAATAAATGACATTTTTAAAAGTTGTGATAGAGTTTTATCAGGAACTCAAACAAATATTCAAGCAACAATATCCTGAGTAGCATTATTAATAGAAGTCACAAAGTGTTTGTTACAAAGTCTAGCTCAGTGGTAGAGCTTGTCCTTAGTATTCCCAAGGTAATATGTTCTATGCCCAGCACTGGGAAATTATATATTTGCAGTGATTCTTGGAACTAAAAGAGAGACGGAAATTCTAGTCATGGTCCAGTACAAACCTGTGCCATCTTGTTTTGTGCTTAAGTTTTATCAGAATATATGCAAGTTTCTTCCCCTGCATGTACTTCCTATGACCCTGTAGTAACTGCAGTTAACAGCTAGTACAACACAGCTCTCATGTGCCTAAAGCCTAAAATGAGAGTAGCTGACAGCTCCCATTCTACCATCAAAATGTCATTCTTATTTAAAAATTGTGTTTTATCTTACTGAAATCAGAATAATGTGTAAAATGGGGAGAAATAGTAAATTGCATAAGGTAATCATTTATACGTTTATATCTCAAGCACTATTTCATTGACTATAATTTGAAAATATCTATATTACTTTTGTTCCTTTTCCAGTCTTTTTAACTATTAGTTTTAAAGAGCAGGGGTGTCATTGTTCATGCATTCTTTTTTATTAATTAAGTTTATTCATTTATTTTACATCCCAACCACAGTTTTCCCTCCCTTGTCTCTTCCCACCCCCTCCCCCGATCTCCTCCTGTCCCGAAAATCCACTCCTCCTCTGTTCAGAAAGGGGCAGGCCTCCCATGGGTGTCAACAAACATGGCATATCAAGTTGAGGTATGACTAAGCTCCTCCATTTGTATTAAGTCTGGGCAAGGCAACTCAGAATGAGGACTAGTTTCCCAAAGGCCTATCAAAGCCTCAGGGCTAGGCCCTGCTCCCGCTGCCAGGAGTCCCACAAGTAGACCTAACTATACAACCATCACACATTGTAGAGGGCCTACAGATTGGTCCGATGCAGGTTCCTTAGCTATTGGTCTAGTGTCTGTGAGCTCCAAACAGATGTTCATTTACATTATTATACATCTATATTATTGTACTATACTAAATGTCTATATACACATATATATTGTTAAACATCTGTATTAATGTAATCTTTATTATACATTACATATTATTAATATATCTCCAAAAATATTAATATGCTCTCTAGCAATAACTTAATACTGTTTAGTAAAAGCTATTGAGTGTGGTGATATATTATCTATGACTTATTAAAGCTTGCCTGAGGATTTAGAAAGCAAAGTAAGCAACAAGCCATAGAAGCCAGGCATACACCTTTAATCCCAGCAGCCAGAAGCTAGGAAGCAATGGTAGATGCCTTTAATCCTAGGACTCAGAGGTAGATGGATCTCTGTGAGTTCAAGATCACCCATATCTACACAAGATTGAATCAGTCTATAAGAGAATGATAGCTCACACCCTTAATCCCAGGACTCACTTGAGGTATATAAGACAGTAGCAAGGTCGCAATATAAAGCATTCATTCTCCAGCCACATCTAAGATTCTCCAGCCACACTGAGGAGTCAGCAAGATCAGCCCATTCAGCCTGGCTAGAGGTAAGAAAGAGCTAGTGGCCTGCTACTTTGCTTTTCTGTTCTTCATCTTGAAGTTTGAACCCCAATATCAATCTCTGGGTCTTTTATTTTTCATGTTACAATTGAGTATAAGTAACATCTGTGTAAGATATTTATCTCACCATATGTCAATTCACATGTGGACAACATTTTCTCTTGTGTATAGATAACCAAGGCGAAGTAAATTTAAGGACTAAAGTGTCTGTGGCGGGGGTGTTTTGTTTGTTTTGTCCAGACAAAGTTTCTTTGTGTAACCCTGGCTGTCCTGGACTTTGTCGATCAGGATGGCTTCAAATTAAGAGATCCACCTGCCTCTGCCTCCCAGGTGCTGGGATTAAAGACATGCTCCACCAGACCCAACTGAGAGCTAAATTGTTTTATGCAGACAAGTATTGAACAAACAAAACACCATGAGTCAGAATGATCATAGACAGATTCAGATATAGAAGCAACTATAAGCAATTTCTGAAAAATAAGTCCAAATTAGTAAATGTTTTTAAAAAGAAACAAAAAGAACATCACAAGGAAATGTCAGATAGTGAAATCAGAATAATTAACTAACAGCATAAAAATCTTATGCCATGTAAATAAACCATATCATCCAGAGTTCCAGGAAATACTTTTCCTTGACGAACTGTCTGAATAAAGTGGTAACAGGTGCCGAGTGTTGGCGGTGCACACCTTTAATCCCAGCACTCAGGAGGCAGAGGCAGAAGCAGATAGATCTCTGTGAGTTTGAGGCCAGCCTGGTCTACAGAGTGACTTCCAGAACAGGCTCCAAAGCTACAGAGAAACCCTGTAGCATGAAAAATAAAAGACCCAGAGACTGATATTGGGGTCCAAACTTCAAGCTCAAGATCAGAAAAGCAAAACAGCCTGCCACTAATTCTTACCTCTACCTCAGACTGAAAGGTGATCCTGGCTCCACCAAACCTCACACTACAATCCCAGACTGCTATGCTCCAATCAACATGGCTGGAGAATCCTGAGAGTGACTCCTGAAGACCCTGCTCCTATCTTTTATACCTCTCTAGTGCTGGGATTAAAGGTGTGAGCTCTGCTGCTCATTTAGACTGATTCAATCTCATGGATCCCTGGGTGGTCTTGAACTCAGAGATCCATCTGCCTTTGTCTCCTGAGTTCTGGGATTGAAAGTATGCACCACAACTGCCTGATCTCTATAGCTTGAGGTGACTTTGCTTTCTGAATCCCCAGGCAAGCTTTAATAAATCATAAATAATATATTACCACAAAACCCTATCTTGAAAAACCAATAAAATAAAATAAAATGCTGGTAAGTGAGCCATTGGAACATTGAAAAGTAAAAACCACACAATCCTAATTCAGATCAGGAAATTGAATTCATGAACAGGCACTTTACCTTATCTTCGGCTTCTTTTGGTGAACTGGAACCACAGGAGTTGGATCCGCTGGGCGTCCTTCAGAGAAAAAACATACAACACACGTGGTTGAGTTTGTTTCTCTAACACACTGCTGTGTGTAGGGCTACTATGTGTTAAATGTGTTTCTGCACTGATGCTATTCCACTTCTGGTTTAATTATCACTTTCTACCCTCACTTCTCCCAAATATTCAGCAAAGCATCACTCACAGTTCTAGTTAATCACCTATCATAATCCAACTTATAATCACATTAGGTAATGTCTTCAAGGTCAAACACTCCAGAAATCTACAGAATATGGCATTTAAAATGTTGTAATAACATAGGCACTTTTTATGACAATGAGATATGTCTGTTCCTGGCAGCACCAATCTACTTAAGAGAAGATGGTGGCCATCAAAGAAACTCACATGGAGTAAGCCAATGGACAAGAAAGTGCCCTTGCCTCAACTGCTGACAAAATGCTGTCCAAATTAGACAAACAGGATGCAAAAAAGAATGACTACAAAACCTTGCCAAGGCAAGGCGGGACAGCCCTTAGGAAAATCCTGCTTCACAGAAAAATCTGCCAGAGATGCTAGACTTACAGGCAGAAGATGGATGCCCCAACATTGCAGAAGAACCTTGGGTGACTGTCCAGATAGCCAGCTGTTTCTGTCATTTCTCACATTTTTGGAAGCCATTTGCTCGAACTTCCTGCTTACTCAGTTAATATTATTTCTTTCTCTGAGGAAATTGAAGGCTAGATAGTTATAGTTTTCATTGTTTACCAGACTAAATTCACTAAAGATGCGTCAAGTGTTTTCTTTATTGTCTCTATTTTAGTTTTCAGGTCTTCAACTATCTGAATTGTTTCCTTCAGCTGTTTGATTGTATTTTCTTGACTTTCCTTAAAAGATTTGTTGATTTCTTCCATTTTTTGGTTTGTTTTTTCTTCTATTTCTTTAAGGGATTTTCTCATATCCTCTTTGAGGGCCTCTATCATTTTCATGAAGTTGTTTTTAAGGTCATTCTCTTCTGGTTCATCTGCATTGGGATGTTCAGGTCTTGTTGGTATAGTATCCCTAGACTCTGGTGGTGTTATATAAGTCTTTCCATTGTTGGATATGTTCTTATTCCGTTGTCTTCCCATCTCTTCTTCTAGTGGGTATAGGTGGGGTCTCTCCTCCTCTCAACTGGAGGGTGGATGGGCAAGACTGAAATGGCTGCTAATGAAACTGGAAGCTTTGTTCTGCCTCCAGGTCCCTCTTTTGTGTTTGGTGGTGGGAAGGGTCTGGAGGCCGCAGGTCAGGGAGCTCAGAGAGGGGGAGGTGGGCTAGGATAGCCCCTGGAATTCACCTCGAGGACATGGGGGAGCAGGAAGATTGAGTCAGGGGAAGTATAAAGGAGAGCAAGATAAGAGATATCAAAATAGAGGGAGCCATTATAGGTTTAAAGAGAAATCTGGCACTAGGGAGATTTCCAGAGATCTACAAGGATGACACCAACTGGCAATCTAAGCAATAGTGGAGAGGCTACCTTAAATACCCTTCCTCGATAATGGGATTGATGACTACCTTATATGCCATCCTAGAGCCTTCATCCAGTTGTTGATGGAAGCAGAGGCAGACACCCACAGCTAAACACTGAATTGAACTCCTGGAACCCAGTTGCAGAGAGGGAGGAGTAATGAGCAATGGGATCAAAACTGGGCTGTTGAAACCCACAGAACAGCTGACATGAACAAGGGGGAGCTCAGGGACCCCAGACTGCTGGCTGAGAGGCCAGCATGGGACTGATCCAGACCCCCTGAACATGGGTGTAAGTTAGGAGGCCTCGGCAATCTATGGGGCCTCGGGTAGTAGACCAGTAGACCATATGGGATGATATGACAGACTTTGGAGATCCCCCATGGAGGGCCTCACGCTCCCTGGGGAGCAGAGGGGAAATGGGGGGGGGGCTTGGAGAGGATGGTGAGGGGCAGGGAGAGGGAGCTGGGATTGACATGTAAAGCAAGTTTGCTACTAATTTTTAAAAAATTTAAAAAATAAAAAAAATTTAAAAAGATATACTATTAAATAGAACAATCTTTTCAAGAAAAAAAGATATGTAAAGTGTAAAAGGTTTAGAGACATTAAAAGATAATTTGATAATGCAAATTAGAATAGGAAATTAATTAAGTACAAGACTTTGAACTCACCAAGATAGAATAGTGAAGTATTTTCTGAATTTGTCAAATGCAAATGGGCTAGACATTGTTGACGAACTTATTACCTGCATGTATGGTATATACTTATTATACTTATTGTATGTAATTTTTCTTATGTTAGTTGTAGCTTCTTTTTGTATTAGACAAAAAGGGATGATATATTATTTATGATTTATTAAAGTTTACCTGAGGGTTCAGAAAGCAAAGTCAACCACAAGCCATAGAAGCCAGGCACATATCTTTAACCCCAGAAGGCAGAAGCTAGGAGGTTGGTGATACACATCTTTAATCCTAGGACACAGGATTAAGATGTAGACCGATCTCTCTGAGTTCAAGACCACCCAGAGATACGTGAGATTGAATCAGTCTAAAAGAGTAACAGATCACATGCCTTTAATCCCAGCATTAGCGAAGTTTAAAAGACAGAAGCAGCGTCTTCAGTATTCAGTAGGAGGCATTGATTCAACAGCCACATTGAATGTAGGAAGGCTCAGATCAGGCATTCATTCTCCAGCCAAGCCGAGGAAAGGCAGCAGTTTGAGACTTGGTGAAGAGCTCCTTCATGGAATCCATTTCAGTCTGAGCTTCAGGTGAGAGAGAGCTAGTGGCTGGCTGCTTTGCTTTCCTGATCTTCAGTTTGAAGTTTGAATCGGTTCATTTATTTTCCATGTTACACTGCTGTGCTCTTTTTAGTGTTGCTCAATCTGGAGTATGTGTTGGCATCCTACTAAGTATGTTTAATTGCTCTTCATACCTATTTAATGGCTTGGGCTTGAGTGATTGGACCCACTATAGAATACCACGAAGAAATAAAAATAAAAAGAATTAGCTATACCTGTCTGGTTCATCAACTTCCTGTATCTTTTTTATGTGGCTTACTAACAATTTTGTCAGGTTCTCATTGCTTCCCAGTTGAGCCAGGATAAGTGGTGAAACGCCACCCTATGGGGGAAAGAAACAACACTCATGATTCCCAGAACTTCGTATTTCTCACAATAACTGGAAATCAGATGGAAGGCACAGTGGAGCTCAGGGTCTGCTGTGGGTTCCGTGAACCACAGCCTGGGCCTTCTCACCCCATGGTGTTTCCCCACCTGCTGCTCTGCCTGCCTGGAGCTGCCCATGAACACCAATGCTTCCTCCCGACACTCATTCAAGCATGAACTGGTTCCCTGAGCTTTGCTTCCACCCTGGCGTTTACCATGATATTATGGAGCACCTGGTTGCTCCCAGCTAAACCAAAGCTTCTTGAGGATGGGAGCTGTGTCTTTTGTCTCTAATTCCCCCAAACATTAAATAGTAGTACAAGTTTATGGTATTTCCCTTGAGTAATGAGTCAAACTACATCTCTAGAGCGGGGTTTAATCCTCTGTATTCCAAAGAATATTTACTTTCCCAGAGTTGCCATGCCTCACATAAATGCTGGATAAACCTGAGCAGGACAGGTGCAGTATGGAGGAAATACCATGACATGTGTGTAATCCTTATATCTGCTTTTGTGGCAAACATTCAGTGTCTTGGCCTTGACAGCATTCCAGAAACACCTATATTTCCACCAGGCTGTGGAAGAGCTCAGTAGATTCTTTCTGTTTATAGTATAGGGACCCATGGCAGACACTCTGCTCCAAATGGATCACTGAGGACAAGGCTGTAAATTAGATGGCATGGGATTCAAATGAACTTTGGTGGCTTATTAGTAAAAGGTCCATGGGAAATTTTCCGATAACAAGAAGAGTAGTATCTCATTCATAAGATCTCTTATACACATCTGATACACATCTATTTAAAATTAATTTTTAGGTCACCTCTTTTTTAATTACTACTTAAAGTTATTTTTAGTTTTAGGCAAAATACAAATGAGAAATAAAATATAACTGTTTATCAGTACAAATTCTGATAATCGTTCATGTGGATCTTTTTAGCACAATAAAAACTACTAACCTAACTGGGTGTGGTAGAGATTGCCATTAGCCTCAGCATTTGGGAGGCTGAGACAGAGTTCCAGGACAACCAGGACTACAGAAACACAGAGAGAGGCATGATGGAGAATGTCCATAAGCCCAGCATTTAATAGATGAAGGCAGGAAGACCAGTGTCATCCTCATCTACATAAAAAGTTTATGACCAACCTGGACTATATGAGATCCTTTCCCATAAACCAAGAAACAAGCAAGCAATAAGGGTCCCATTGCCATTCTTATGAACTCGTGGTTACATATTTACAACTTCCAGGGTGATATTGCCAGCAATTCTCTTTATAACATTTATCAGAGAAGTAGCCATGTAATCAAAGGAAATCGTGAAGTGTCATTGGGAAGGAAAAAGTTCCCATCAAACCCTATCTTCTAGAGATATTTTAACTTTCTGAGATCTGAGAATTCATATATTAAACTTTTTCAGAGATTCTTATGTCATAGTTGTATCAGAATCTCCATGAAATATTTTTAAATATCCATATGCAGGTCTTATTAGATTTGGTGAATCAAATTATATATATATATATATATATATATAATTATATAAATAAATAAAATCTTTGTAACGCAAACCCAGTCCAAATAATTTGGAAATCAAAGCTGTGTGGTCTCTACCTTGTTCGTTATGTTGGCATCAGCATTGTATTCCAGCAGCTTAGTTGTCATTGAGATATTCTCTATGAAAACGGCATAGTGCAGAGCTGTGCTCCCACTGTTGTCAGTAGCATTTGGATTGGCACCATGTTCTAATAAAATTGTCATGCATTCTTCATGATCATACTGTGAAGCCTGTGGGAAGTTACATCAAGTAATACATTGGAAAGATGAGAAATTCAAGATGAGCATTCCATAGATTTCACTAATTATTTGCATTAAGTTGAGATAAAAAATCATGTTTATTCTCAGTATTTACAGCAAACCCATGTCAGACTGAAACTGTTGGCTACTATCTACCTTAATTAGTGGCGTGCTGTTGTAACTGTCACAGAGATCGATGTCACAATTCCAGTCTAGTAGGAGGGTCACTACATCAGGATGTCCATGTGCACAGGCATAATGTAAAGGTGTTCTGTGGAAATGAGGACTTTTTAAGAATTTATGCAAGGCTAAGTCAAAGAAACACAATTATTCATGTGATTGTAAACATGATTAGCATGTAAGTAATTTTCTTCTGACATATGGGCAATATTTATCAGTTCTTCCCACACAAGTTTTGGCTGCCAATTCAGAGAAAGATTTTGCTCACATTGCTGGGAACGAAGCATATGCAGTCCTGCATGGGAGGCAAGGATGCCATCACTAAACTGCATGCCTGGTGTCTTAGTTAGATTTTCATTGATGTGATGAAATACCATGATCAAAGCAACATGGGAAGGAAAATAACAAATGGCCTGATAAGAGTCTTTAAACTTCCCTTTGAAACTTCACAAGCTGGGCCTCTATCTTCTGCATTGCCCTCAACATACTTATCTTCCAAATTCCTACAGAACAGCTCACCAAGCATTAGAACACTCAATGGCTTTTTTTACACAATGTTTCAAAGTCCTTCCACAATCCTCCCAAAGATATGGTCAGGTCTATCACAGAAATAACCCACTATGATGGTACCAATTTGTCTTATTCAGGGTTTCCATTGCTGCGATGAAACACCATGACCAAAGCATGTGCCTGGCTTGTGATCCTCTTCATATACTTTGACCACTCTGCATTAGAATGCTTCTTCTAATTCATAACATATTAAGCTTTAATTGACAGAAGTTTTTAGATTTTTTACAGTAGAGGGTCATCACAACCCATGGTGCCCATATTAAATCATACATGTATATTCTAAATGATTTTGGGAATTCTAGTCATAATATTCAAATAAATTTAAGATCTGAAAAGTTGGGTAGGTAAAGGGAGTATGATAATAAAATTATATCCAAATATAACTCTTGATTTATAACCTTCAGCAAAAGAAAAATCAGGACTCAGATAAGAAAGCATGGATCATTTTATTCAATGCTGATATTTACAGAATGTGCAGAAATAAAATGTTTCAATTGGTAATTAATATGATTATCTGATACGCTATAACTTTTCAAAATGGCTGCTCTTTACAATTTCCTAACTGTGAAATATTGTTATTTGAATGGAAAGAGGCAATAGTTCAGTTAGCCTTGAGTACAACTTCTTTAGAATTTCTACACAGGGCAGGAAAATATGGACACTTTAAGGATGAGTGGCATTTATAGGCAGTAAAATAAGTGTGCTATGTAATAGAGAGCCAACATGTGTTTGGTGAATGAGTGGGTAAAAATAATAGATAAAGCTCAGGAGTCCAACATTTTTATATTTAATAATTGTAATAATTTAAATAAATTTAATTAATTATGTTATTAATTCTCTCACAAATCACAGAATGGAAGAGATTGCAATTATAATTATTTTTATCAGCAGGCCATATGAGTTAAAGTTACATACTGTCTGTGATCATTCTCTTCCCTTAAGACAAGGAAATGACATCAGCAAAGGAGTTTAACTGCAAAATGAATTTAACTGCAAAACCTCTGTGTTAGCATTTGTTTTTACTCCGGTGTGATTCTCTGGTCTGAAGTCAGTTTCGAGTGTGTGTGTGTGTGTGTGTGTGTGTGTGTGTGTGTGTGCACTTGCAAGTGCCTTTGTGTGTTCTGGATGAGTCATGCTAGCTAATCTTCACCATGTTTTTGTTTTATTACTGGCACATCAAGACCCACAGTTGTGAGAAGTTTTTCATTTAAAGAGTTATAAAATAGATGGATTGCGATTTCATTTATTAAATAAACATGTATTTCAACACCCAGGAAACTATGTTGATTTATTTAAGTGTCAATTTGTCACAACTTAGAATCACCTGTGACCAGAGCCTCAACTGAGGAATTCCGTAAGTCAGGTTTGCCTGTGGAGATGTCTGTGGGGTATTATCTTGTTAACTGATATAGAAAGACACAGTATGGGTAGCACCATTCCCTTGGCTGGGCTTGAGTTGTGTGAGATCAGTGAAAGCTAGCAGTGAACAATTTGCATTTGTTTCACTCTGTTCTTGACTTGTGGACATGGTGTGATCAGATCCTGCTTCTGACCTCTCTGCTATGAACTATAACCTAGAATTGCCCTCCAGATAAACTCTTTGCACACCCTGACAAAAGAAATGAAACTATGACAATAGTTAAGTGACCTTTAAGAAGTTTCATGATGAATAACTGATGACCCTTCAGGATGAAATACTAAACTTACTGGAAATATAAATATGGCAATGGCCAATAAGAAAAACACATAGCACTACTATGCAGATTCTCCAAGAGAAACTAATGATGTCATAGAGATATGCAAACTAGATCCTCCAATGGCTGTTATTTGTTTATGGACTTAGATTAATTATTCAGTGTTTATCAAGCACAATCAGAGGTAATATATGTGACCTTGCTGTCCAAAATTTTCCAAAGTGAAAATACACACAACTTTTATAAAGCTCATAGTTATTTTCTCATTTCTATGTTTCACTTTTCTTGACTTCATGAAACCAAGCTCTTTGCTTTTCTATTCATGTTTTCCTTCTCTCATGACTGCAGTCATTATTAAGTATTTTTATGAAAAATGTTCATAAAACAAAAGAAAACTTGAATTAGTGATAAACATTTGCTATCTTATCTTCAGGAAAATTTAACTAAAATGACAATGTCTAATTATTTCTGTATATGAAACTGTATGTATGTAATAATATAGTTGCATAGTAAATTTTAAATTTATTATACTTAACATAAATATAACATAAATATGTGTTAAATATATTTACATTTACTTATATAAATATATTTATATATACTTAAATATAAAATATACAGTTTATATTAAAGGTTGTCTTTACTGAAGTGTTGGTGGAATATATCAATATACAGGTACAAATAGGATATAAGAAATTATTATGTGTAAAATATGTACAAACTTGCTCTTCCCAAGAACTATTCTATTACCACTAATGTTTAATAATATTTCTGCATGTGTTCATGTCAGAAATCACAGATAAGAAAAAAAAAAGGAAGGGACCATCTTACAAGGATGGCATATTAGAAGTGAATTTGTGATGGCCAGCTTAAGAAAACTAAAGAAAACAAATGACTCTGTGCTAAAGAAATCAGGGAGAACACTGAAGTCACAGTATAGTTTTCAGCCAGATGAAAAACTCAAGAGACATAGAAAGGTTGGGTGGCACTGATGAGGAAGCAGACTGTGTGCCCACCCTAGGCCACACGTTAAGACCAAAGCTCCCACAATCCTGAAATCCAGCTGGAGGACTCCCTTAAAAAATGACTCCAGAGAGTGAAGTTAGCATTGGAGGAGTCCACCTTGGCTCTCTGTATTCTTCATATGGGTACTCAGACCCCATCTTGAAAGGGTGTCCATTAATTCCATTAAACTGAGTTTATTTGGGGGATTGAAAGAAGAAATAATGACAAATGGGTGAACGTGAGGTGGCTGGGTGAGAAACAGCTGCATCAAGCAGTCACAGAAGAGGAGGGCGGGACATTAAAGCACTGAGAATTCCAAGTGTTGGGTGGTGGGTGAACAGCTCTAATGTCTGACCCTGCCCTCCTCCGGGAACAGTACAATAACTGCCAAGCACAGAGATTGCCACCTTTGGTTATCAAGACATCTTCGTGACAAAGGTCAACACGCTATACACCACCGTTGGAAGCCATGGCAGTTCCCTCCTCGCCCTAGTCCTCGGGGCTTAGGTAAGGAAGCTGACTTTTCTTTCTCCACATGCCTCCCAGCCTGCCCCTTGACCCTGACCCCCAGCCCCAGTCACCTGCTGTTCCTGTCTCGGTCATTAGCACCATTTTTCGCAAGCTCGAGTCTACACTGAACCCTGGCAACATCGCCCAACCTTGCAGCCTTGTGGATCTTCCCGTAAGCTTCATACTTTGGGGGCTGTGTGGTGGAGTGGTGTCTAGTAGCCCTGTGCCGACACCGAGGCCTCTGGCTGGTGGATGAGACGGAAGAAGACCGTCTTTGACTGAAGATGGTCAAGAACTTCTTCATCGAGGAGCTCCCTACCCACCCCCTACCCGCTGCCCTGTCCGCTGTGGGCTATTATCCGCCCACAGGGAAAACACAGTGATATGATATGAAAAAAAAAAACAAAAAACAAGTGAGTTTTGCCGCCAGCGCCCACGACCACGACATCTACCCTACAGGCAAGCTCTGTAGGTAGAATCCCAGTAGCATAGGTACTCCTGTCAACTGCATTCCATCCCACCGTCACCAAGCAACGCTTCTAAACACAGACAATCCTACCATTGGGACAGCGTAAGTCAAACAACTGTGACAGGTCAGGCATTCGAAGCATGCCTACTGCGCATGCGCAACGCCTGATCTACATCCGCCTACTATCTCAGCCCATCGTTGCCTTCAAACAGCAGAGGTTTTGAACGGCCAAGCAGCATTTGCTCGGGGACCCTTGAGACTGCACTGGTTGAGTCTCCACGAGCATATCCTAAAACCTGTCAGTCACATTACCCTTTGCCTGACTTTCCTTCTGAGGCAAATGCCACCGAACTGCTGTCTGCAAGGGGGAGGTGGGGGTGGGGAGTTAGCGCCACCAGGCAGGGAAAATGACTTTGGTAACTCCAGAAGCAGTGGCAAGAGTGACTTCTTGGCAACTTTCTCGGTGGAAACGTGTGCACCAGAGGACACGCAGAACGTTTCATCGTGGCGGTGCCTGATGAGACGCAAAGCCATCATGCCCCATGTTCCCTGCCCTGTTTTCTGCCCTTTGACCCAGTTTTGCCTTCCCTATTCCTTGCTGTCAGATGTGTCTCCTTCAGTTAGGAACCTGATGTAACATTTTCAACATTTTAATTTTTTACTCCTTTACCCCTCGTGGGTCCTAGAACTCCTTTTGTTCTTTAGTTAATTATGTCCATTTGAAATTTGTCTGAACGTGAGACCAGACCAGAAAGGAGTCAGTAAACAGTGGTCTTCTTCCACCGGTCTCTGCCTGACTTCCTACTGTCAGCTTCCTGTCTTCAGCTCGTGCTTGGGCTTCCAGTGTAAACCAAAATGATCCCTTTCCTCCTCCGAATTGCTATTGTCAGTGTTTTATAACAGCAACAGAACCACCAACTAGGACCGGAAGCTAGCTATGAGCACTCTCACTCTGACATTCAGAGTAGAAAGTCCACTTCCCACATTTACAACTTTAGCCTTAACTCAACAGTTGTGAAAAACGAATTGATGTTGGGTCTGATTGAGTGTCGATAAACTGTGGTGTGCCCGGGGGCTATTGAATACAGCCTATAATTCTTAATACAAATCTTTATTCTTTTTTTTTTTTTAAAGAAAAAAGTCTGAGAAAATCTGTATGACAGACAAACCTCTTCAGCTAATATGAAGGCCTGTTTTGTATTGCTAGTGTCTGTTTGAGCAAAAACAGCATGTATGTATTCTCGGTAGCATTCACCTTTGTAAGACTTAGATATTCTGAACCAGCTATTTGGTTGAAATAGACTACCCTCTATTTCATTTTCCCCAAAACACTTCCAAAAGTTTTAATGAAGAAGAGGACTTATCATTGTTGGTTTTATTTCCTATATGACCAGAAAGCACTCAGAACACTCTTGCCTATATCTGTATGGTGAAGCAGATTCCCACCAACACTTTGATAGTAGCAGATCATATTGCTGAGGTCCTCGATCCATTTCTGCAGGACGAGAGACAGAGATCTAGTCTCCCTCCAAGTGGTGATACTCTCAGGACCACTCACTGAAGCTACCATCTTTCACCAATATGTATTTCTGGCACCTTTCTCAAAACTCAGGTAGCTGTACTTGTTGAATGTGTACCTGGTTCTTTCTTCCATTCTGTTGATCTATGAGCCCTTCCTTTGCCAGCGCTGTGCACTTTTATTACTATGACACTATAGTAAAACTTGAAACAAGTATGATAACATCTCCCAAAGCAGCCTTTTTGTTCAGGATTGCTTTGGTTATTCTTGGACTTTTGTGTTGCCATATAAATTCTAAAGTATTTTTCTTTCTTTGTGTGTGTGTGTGTGTGTGTGTGTGTGTGTGTGTGTGTGTTTTGGTTTGGTTTTTTGAGACAGGGTTTCTCTGTATTGCTTTGGAGCCTGTCCTGGAACTCGCTTTGTAGACCAGATTGGCCTTGAACTCATAGAGATCTGCCTGCCTCTGCCTCCCAAGTGCTGGGATTAAAGGTGTGCGCCACCACAGCCTGGCCTAAAGTATTTTTCTATGTCTGTGAAGAATGGCTCTATAATTTTTATTGAGATTGTATTGAATCTGCAGAATTCTTTCTCTGGGGAAGGCATAAACATTTCTCCATTTCTCTAAGATCTCAACCACAAATCAAAGTATGATGCCACCAATTCACCCAAGGACACTGGTGAATTAATTGGGCTTGCTTACAGAGGGTAGGTAGGAAGTTACTAACAGCAGTATAGTGGACCACCCCCCACTTCCTCTTTTCCTTCCTCTTCTTCCTGTCCCTCCTCCTCTTCCTCCTCCTCCCACTGCAGATGTTGTATACCATCTCATTTCCAAGCTGCAGTGTTTCAAGGGCCCCTCCTAGACTCTCCCTCCCCTTTCATCAGCACTGCTATCTTAATGGTAGATTTATTAGACACTCAAAATACACACATCCCCTTCTCCTAAAAGGGTAACAGTTTTTAAAAAATAAAACATTTAGAGAAAATAAAACAACTACAACAACCAAAACACTTGGATTTATATCTCGATAAATTATTTCTAAATGAATTTTCACTTTTTCCTATAATTCCCAAATTCTTCATGTTAAAATGGAAAATGGTAAAGAACAGCATCCAGAAACCTAAGGGCAATTAAAATCATCATACAGCAGCTTCCAATCACTTCTAACACTCATGCCAATAAACCTTGGAAGCAGTGTGCTTCAATATCCATGTGTACCCCCATAGCGAAAGATTTTGTCTCCACTTGAACCAACCAACACTAGATCAGAGCTGGCATGTCTATTATGATATGCAGCACAAGGTGAGACCTTGGTGGGTCCCATGGTAGGTAAGAGACAACTACACCATCCAGCAAAACTTATGTGAAAAGTTGATGGGGAATGTCCTTCTGTGTATGTTTATCTTATTGGTTGTTGAATAAAGCACTGTTCAGCCAATGAGGCAGCAAGTTAGGCAGAACTAGGAATCAAGGAGGATTCTGAGAAATGTAGTAAAATCTTGTGCTCCAGGCAGGAAGTGACATAGCAGGCAGACTCAGAATATAAGCAAGGACAAGCAGGAAGTCGTTCTCTTCCTCCTCTCTGTGGAGCTACCATGTGATCCCAGGAAGACAGGATGCATTCCACTGGCATCCTCCATAAGATAAGTCTTGTAAAAAATATAAAGATTAGTAGTTATGGTTGATAATTAAGACTGAGCTAGAAAATAAGAAATCCTAGTCATTGGCCAGCAGCATTGTACCTAATATAAGTCTGTATGTTATTTTGGCCACCCACTTGTTGGGCAGAACTCGGGCGGCTGGCAGAAAGATTTACCATTACAAAAAGTCTACTGGGAGAAGGGAAGGGAGCAAGGAAGGGAAAGGAAAGAGGGGAGAGAGAGAGAGAGAGAGAGAGAGAGAGAGAGAGAGAGAGAGAGAGAGAGAGAGAGATCTGCCTGCCTCCTCAGAGAAAGGATAGAGCGAGGAGTGGAGAGAACTTGTCTCTTAAAGGGACCCTTGCACCTATGTACAGAGCCAGGGGGTGACTCTGCCAGGTCCCCAAGGGGCAGGGCCAAGGTGTGGCTGGATGCTAACAATGTCCCAGAACCATATTTAAATCCATGATTATTCTCACAAATTCTCACACCTGAACTGGTAGATGTGGTCTTTCTTTTTTTTTTTTTTTTTTTTTTGGTTATCAATACTCTGAAAAGATGTAGGTGACTCTCTTCACTGTACATCAAGTACATTAAATTCACATGTGTATAGCCTCTACCTTTCAAGACAATTAGCACTAAAGGGAGATAAACTGCAATCTTGCCAAACTCACTTAAATACTCAGAGAGCCTAATGCCTCCAACCAAAGAGGTAATGGGGATTGATCCTATAGGACTCTACTGAGCAAAAAGGAGTGTGTGCTTGGCAAAGACAGGACTTACCAAAAGAAAGATATGCTATCCACAAACTTCCTAATACGCCAAATCATCACCCTCTCTAAGCATTTAAGAAGGGCTCTACTGACAAATAGGGAACACTTACTGTAATACAGAGGATCATCAAGTACCATGGTGCACCCCTATGCTTCCAGCACTATATTCCCTGGCTGACCATTTTGTTCTTGACACAGCTGGCCTCAAACTCCTATTGAACTGAAGATAGTCTTGAACTTCTTCCTAACCCTCCTGCCTCCACATCCCAAGTGCTGGGATTACAGGTAATGCGCCACCACATTTTACTTTAATAACAAAACTTTAAAACAAAGCTACCAGGTATGGTGTCACACATCTATAACCCCAATACTTAGATGGCAGACTCAGGCAGATCCCAGCCATTTCAAGAGCAGCCTGATCTACCTAGGGAGCTTTAGGACAGCCTAGGCCTGTCTCCAAACAAGACCTGTCTCCAAAACTGATAAATCACCACTTCTCAGCCTGTGGGTCATGACCTATTGAGGGGTCAAATGACCCTTTCACAGGGATTGCATATCAGATATCCTGCATGCAGGGTATTTGCACTCTGGTTCATAACAGTAGCAAAATTACAGCCATGAAGTAGCAATGAAAATAATTTCAGAGTTGGGGGTCACCACAACATGGGAAACTACATTAAAGGGTCACAGCATTAGGAAGATTGAGAACCAGTGAGATAAATGAAGAGATAGATGACAGGCAGAATGACAGACAATGACCTTTTGAAAATGTCTCAAGTAACATAGAGATTTACACTAAGCCAGAATGAGAGGGACTCCCAGGATTGGGAGGAGGGCATCCCAGGAGGTCGTAATTTTTCCTTTGTAGAAAGATCTGTCCATGGCTCATGGATGGAGAGGAGGGG